CAATATAGTTGAACTACTTGAAGAACTAGCTCCCAATATCAATATGATCCAATAGCTTGAACATATGACTCTCAACACTAATATGGTCGAATCGTTCAAAGATGTGGCTTCCAACATTAACATGATCAAATTGTTTAAAGAGGCAACACCTTATAATGATGTGACCAAAGTCAATCATGAATCGTCCATCCACAATGATGATTGAATACTCCAAAAAGTGCAATTGAATTTGACCATAAAATATCCTTTGAAAATCACATGATTGACTCGATCCAAAAGCATATCCAAATAGTAATGTAGGTGAAATCAACCTACAAGCATTTATCAACAACATTTACTAAATTAGCCTAAAAATGTCTCGGCATAGTTATAATGACCAAAATCGCTTCTTACGATGATAATATTGTCTAATTAATCTGAAGTACTTTTTTCGATGATAACATAATTGAATCGGCCTAAATCACTCCTTACGATAATAGCGCGATTAAATCAAACTATAATGCTCCCTACAACAATAGCGCGATCGAAACTACCTGAAGAGCTCCTTTTGATGATATCATGATCAAAATAAATCAAAACACTCTATTCGATGACGATGCGATCGAACGACCCAAAGTATTCCTTTTGATGACAATATAATTGAAATGACTCGAAGAGCTCATTTTAAGGATGGTGAATTAGCTTAAAGTACTTCTTTCATTGATAAGATTACTAAATAATTTTTTCGAGATCAATAGTTAAGTTAAAATCTTATTATTCCCTTACTTCTCAATGCTCATCGAGGCTCATTAAGTGGGGCAAGTGATATGGGAATAATGACATAAGAATATCTACTGATAAACACTTTAATACTTTATGATTGATATCTTAACATTAGAAAGATAAGCTTCATCACCCTTTAGGTAATATGGTGACTGCCTCAACCCTATGAAAATTAGTACATGAGAGCTAACTAAACTAATTGTTACCTTATATTCTCCAAATTCAATGGTTTTGAAAGAAGCACATAATTGTTACAAGCATTAACGATGATCTCAATCCAATGGTCAAAGATTACATAATAAGAGACCCCATGTATCGTCTCAACGTGGTTCTTGCTTTGGTGAATTACACCTTTGGCATTCAACACTTGTTTAAATCCTTTGAATTTCTTATTAATTTAAACATTAGAGAGTCATTATCGAGTTTACTCATGGTATATATATTTTTTATATAAAATCCCTTATTGAACCTACTCATCTCTCAACATCAAGTTTGTGGCAAGCTTGGGCTCGAACCAAAGTTAGCTCTAAATCTTCTCTCACAATTAATTCTTCTTTAACAATAACTTAGTAAGTACCAAAACTTGCTAGAAAATTTTATATAATTTGTTAATCTTAAAGTTTTTTATCTATTCATGATTAAAATATATAATCATAAAATACTAAGAGTAAGCGGAGACAAATAATTATATTGTAAGGAATGAATGATATGGTTGGTTATTTTATTCATTACCATAAATATGAAAAAATTATGGTCCAAAGCTTAAAGTTCTTACTATGATTAGATACTAGATTGATTTAAAATTATTAATCAAATTAAAAATTTTAATCTTTAATAAAAAATAATGATAGGTTATCCTGTTTAATTAGTTATCTTTAGTATCGTGGTTCATATATTTTCAAAAGTTATATTGGGATCTTTATATTTATAAAAGTGAAATATTTAATTTTATTTCTCTTTGAGTCGTCAATTCTACTAATAAAAATATCATAAAATTTATTTTTAAGTATGTGTTAACTTTGTCTCACTTCGATTTATTATCGAGCATGTGTGGTGTTTCCGTCGATAAAATTAATGATGCGAGTAGAAATAATATTAAATATTTTATTAATCTTAATCTAATTTTATAAAGTATAAGAATCGATATATTAAATATAATTAATTATAAGGATAATATCTAATTAGTAGTAGAGTCAAAATTTATTTCAACCTTAATTAATAAGGGTATCAATCGTGGAGAGAAGATATTTAAAATCAATAAAAATATCAATATTATTAACAATAAAAAATATATCAAAAAAATTAATATAAGAAAATTATAATTTAATACTATCTTCTTATATGCATGATAAAAGTAAATTTTTTTTTATCATACGAAATCAAATCTTAATTTAAGCATAATTTTTTTTAAATAATTTGTTAAAAACATATTTTTATTACATTTTCTCTTATCATTAAACCCTATTAACATTTAAAGTAAATCTTTTCTCTCATCAAAAAAATTAAAGAAATAAATTATAAAATATAAAATAATGTTGATAAGATAGGTGAATCGGAGATATCATTATAAAGCTGGATACACACGACGTCACCCTTCCCTTTGAGGCCAAGCGTGCCTCTGCCCATCCCATCCATTCCTCCCCCACAGTCCATAGCAGCAGCAGCGGCGGCAGCAGAAGCCCATCCTCATCTCTTCCGCGCTCTTCCCCAGGCCACATCTTTTCGCCCCGTCACCCACATTCCGCCGGCGGTCTCGACGCGACACGTGTGACAGGATGAGATCTCGGAGGATGTGGATCTCAATTGCCCCCCAAACTCGTGGCTGGCGATGGCTCTCCGCCCCCGAACGATAGCCCACCGTCCGTCTCCCCTGGCCCGCCGCTCGGACACAGGAAAGAGAGGAGGAAAGCGCACCGCCAACCCACGGGCGGCGATTCCGTGGGCGTACGAAGATGCCCGCGGTTTCCTCGGCGGTGAGCACACCTGAGGATCACGCAGAGGGTCCGACCCCACCCCGGGTCCCATGTGGCGCCACCCAGCAAGCCCACGTAGGTAAATCACGTGGCGCCTCGCACGTCACCCTTCCGTCGTTGGCTTCCGTCGCATCACGAGGAATTCGTGATTAATTAATCGTCTTCTTAATTAGCACAAATCTAATTGGAAAAGGTGCAGGACACCAGCGAAGGCGCACGTCACGTGAGGCTACGTGCTACGGGTGGCCGACACGGTGCCACGTAGAGAGGAGGGGGGGGGGGGAATCTCGCCCACCGCCTGGACGCCACGTCATGGCTCCGCGATTCGTGCTGGCAGAAGCGGAGGCACGGGAGCCGCATAATTAGTGGGGTGGTCTGAAATGACAATATCACCCCTGTTCGCCTCCCGACTCCTACTGCTCTCGCGGTGGAGTTACCGCTGAATGCGTAAGTTGGTCTCCGCCCAACCTCGTATTACAATGATAAATTTCTATTGTCCCTTTCTATTGTCTCCGCCCAAACATAGAGTCCTTTTCATGACTTGAGGTGGAAGTAAATGGTCGGAGTTTATCCTATAGATATTAGTATGTGAAGGGAGAGTAATTTTGGGCTCTAAATTATACCTCTTCTATTCTCAACGACAGTAGGTTTCCACGCGATTTCTACGCACAGACACCGACAGTCACCCGATTGTGACGTTACCCACAAGGAAGAAGGTAAGCGTACCGCAGTGGGCGGATCACAGAAAGTGAAGGGTAAAGCGACAATCCATCCTTGGAAAAAGTAAAAAAACCGTACCGTTTGACACTGTTATTGCTACGACGCGAAGAGAGGAGAAAAAGACAAGAAAGAGGAGAAGGGGAAGAAGAGAGGAGGAACTCGGAAGGGCGAAAGATGCGACCGAGAAGAGGAGGAATAAGGGTGAAGCAATGCGAGCTGTGCGTTCGGCCGGCGAGGATCCACTGTGAGTCGGATGAGGCGAGCCTATGCTGGGAGTGCGACGCCAAGGTGCACGGCGCCAACTTCCTGGTGGCGCGCCACTCCAGGTGCCTGCTCTGCCGTAGCTGCCAGTCGCCCACGCCGTGGCGCGCGGAGGGCGCCAGGCTGCGCCCCACCTTCTCAGTCTGCGAGCGGTGCGCCGCCACCACCTCGTCCTCGGCCGAGGGCAGCGGCGGTGGCGAGGGGTGTGGCGCCGGCGACGAGGAGGAGGGAGAGGGAGAAGGCGGAAGAAGGGATCGTGAGGAGGACGAAGAGGAAGAGGAGGAGGACGACGACGAAGGGGAGAACCAGGTGGTGCCATGGTCTCTGACACCGCCTCCGGCTGCGAGCTCGTCGAACAGCAGCGAGGGCGAGGAGGAGCCAGGCCGGATAGGCCGGATAGGGAATGGCGGCGGCTTCCTGAAACGGATGCGGGGAAATGCCGACCTCTCCGTCTCGCAGGTAAATCCGTTGCTCTTCTTCTTTCCACTCTGTCCTTTATATGACCTCGTCGTCGACAATTTGGACAAATGATTCTGAACCGCTTCATTGCTGTCTTGTCCCCAAACTTACAACCTCCGATCTGCATCGTGTGATCGCATCAGATATATATAAAGATATAATCTTATGATGTCATGAACCGAAAACAATGTGGAATCGAGTGGTTTTCTTCCTCCTTGTGTATAGTTGAATTGAAAAAGAAAAAAAAAAGAAAATTTCGCAAATGAGAAAAAGAAGAAGAAGAATAAAGTACCCTTTTTGTATCTGACGGCCAAGAAACGATCACAGGACGACCTGGCCTGCTCGTCGTCTCTCCCGAGCTACCTCCCGCCGTCTCCGGCACCATCTCCAGCGGCGAGCGCCACGATGGCGGCAGCGGCGAAGGACGAGGCCAGCTCCTGCGCCTCGGCCTTCCGTTCCTCCAAGGATCGCAAGAGGCCCGCCCTTCGCCCGGAGCCGGCCTCCGACACCGACACCGCCGGCGCCATGCTCGATGTCCGCGTCCACGGCCGCGTCGATCTCATGACTCGGCTGCTGTCTTCCTCCGACCCAAGTGAGTTCTTTTCCCTGCTGTAGCGATCAAGCTTAGCATCATGTGCCCCGCATGTACTGCATTCAATAAATCACTTACTGTTCCCAAATTGCATTTTGTGTTTTTTGGATTTGGGGGTGGATGCAGATCGATACAAGAATCTCGAAGGTTGAAGGGCTGCTGCTAACTATAGAGAGCGATTTCACGAGCTAACTCGAAAGACATCCTTACGGCTGTGATCTCTTGTATTTAGTTTGGCATTGTGTATGCATTGCTGAATTCTCTTCGATTGCTTCAACGTTTCTGCCTATTTCATGTTCGTGTTTCTGCGATAATGATGTGGTAATTGAAGGGTCCGTGCTCCTATGGAATGGGGACATCAAACTATTATTATTATTCATGAGATAAACGATAGCCATACTTGACTTCTGGCCGCCGAGCGTGGCAGCATATGTAGGATTTGATTTGCCGGCAATCACGAGTCCATCCACCGCGCTGGAATTCTGAATCATACAAGCACAAGAAGGATGATACTATATAGAGCAGGTACATAATCTAATCAACCAGTTTTTGAGGAGGCAGACGAGAGAGCAAGGAAATGGCCATTTACCTATATAACAGAAGCAACCACTGCAACAGAAGAAACACATGAGTTGGCTTTCCGCCATGGCTTGTGTTCCTTATCACTCCCTGAAAATAAAACCAAACATATAATATGAGCATTAGAAGCCATACGGCGAGTTACAATCTTTTACAGAGAATAACAAAGTCCATACTCGTGTCCATCCATAAACAGACAGGAATCCATGAAACAAAGGTTAGCATAAGGATCAAGGTCTTTTTCTTCTCAAGCCAAAACTACAAAATATCAGCTAATATAGGATGATGATTTATCTTGAGAAAATATAGGCAAGGATTCTCTCTAGTTGAGGTTGGAAAGCCCACTGTTACGACACAAATAAAAATTTCATCATTTGAGAATATACAAGATGGTATGATACAGAATTGTGAGATATAATTAAAAATGAGGATGCTCACTGTAATGTGTTAAAAATGAAAAAGTAGCGAAGTGATCAGTCTTAACAAATAATTACAATCGCCAAATTGAGGAACTAAACAAACACTTATAAGATCGAGCTGCATCTCAATAGTATTATTGTGTAAGTACACATCTAATATCTCTCATTTAGCCTAAAACAAATTAAAACATTAACCAAAAAAAGAAATCACTAATGTATAATTATAGCCCATGCAGCCAACACGGGATATGGGGAGGATTGTACGCTGACACTAAGCCCAACTTATGCAATCTTATCCCTATAAAAAGAGAGGCTGTTATCATACTGCATTGATCTCTAGAACAAATTTAATCAACAATAATAACAACAATAATAAAACTGTAAGTTCCAACTATTTTAGATCGACTACATGGATCTTTTGCCACCATGAGACACGTAAAAAATCTTATATTTAGTTAAGTTTAGAATAATTAAATATTTATTTATGGTTTCTATTAAACTACCGTATCAGTAGATCTCCTAAGCATATGTCCATATCATCTTAAATAATTCTCTCCTATCTTATACGCTATTGAAACGATACTTAATTATTCACAAATAAAAATATTTTTTTTTCTATCTTTTCTAATAACTTCACACATTAATTTTAATATTATTATCTTTTTGTATATGATGCTTCTTAATTATCCAATACTCAAATTCAAAAACATTGTTAGTCTCACAACTATCTTATATATTTTTTTTTTAAATCTCAAAAGTATCCAATGATCACACACGACTCTTGATGCCTCTCATTATTTTAACCATCCCGTTTTTACTCTATGAATAATATCTTCATCGATCTATCTATCTTATTGAATAATTGATCCAGGATACCTAAAGGTTTTACGTAAAGAAACCTTGTATCTAGCTAACTTCACTATATTCTCATATCTATTCCTAGTATTACTAAAATTATATCTCATATAAATTTGATCAGTATTTAATAATTTGATCATGACAAACTTATAGTGTCAAGCTGAGGCAGAATCAATAAGGCAAACAGTAGCAGAATCAATAAGGCTAGTCAAATCTTTAAGCAACACATTCCTATTCAAATAAAAAAGAACCATGCTGTTAGAAGTGGTGAATCACAATGAAAACTTTTATGGATTAAGCCACATTTCACATAAATGGGGACATCAACCTTGAAGTTTTTCACAAGTGAGACTCACCCTCTTATATAGCCTTTTTTCATACATCTGTCACAGAATGCAAGGTATCATCAAGTTAACAACAATCTTTTAAGTTTGTTGTTGGCTCAACAAAGGTACTAATGAGAGAGGAGTACAGAAACAGAAGCATAATACAGTCTACTCTCCTATAATATGCTAGATAATCATCACCAGAACAAAACATCAGCAGGATGATTGATTGCATTTTAAAACATGCCAAGGATGAAATCACAGGTCCATCTTATAACAAGTAAAACCCACAAAATAATTGCACAAGGATATTTCAACAAAAGGTCATAATAGATTACCTAAATCACAGGATGGATATGCCATTACTATGCATTTCTCAGACATCTGCAAAAGAATCACCATCAATTAACAGAAATTTATACAAAACGTAGTGGCAAATATAACTCAAGCCAGCTTTTTATTGTGCTGGATCAAAAAATTGTTATGCCCCTTTAGATCATGTTGCACATTGAGGGTTTTCAATTCAGCCATAGCATGCTTCCTAAACAACCATATAGAAGGCAACATATTACTCCAGGGGCTCAATGCAAAGAGACGAAGATCAATCAAAGTCCAAATAATATATTAGAACACAATCATGAAATGCCCAGACACATAATTAAGAACCATAAAAATTAACTACAAGGGCAGACATAGCTACCATCTTAAGAAACAATGTCTTGCTCATGTTTGATAAAGTGAGTTGACCAGGATTAATAGTACGAGGAGAAAAAGGAGACACAAAGTTTACTAGAAGCAATAAAAATGGCTTCTCTTGCATTATGGATATTCTCCTACATAGAGCTAAATAGTAGGGAAAAATGCATGTAGCCGATCCCAAATATATGGGACATATTAGTGTTGCTACTGCCATCAATTTGCCAAAATCATCTGCATCTAAATTATATGTTGGTTGTCTATTATGATTTATATAAAGGTACACAGAAAAAGCTGCCAAGCATAGTTATCTTTGCCTTTATGGGGGCCATGGCCTCTCTTGCCCACTATTTGTCTCCAAATTTGCATAAGTAGAAACCTAACGAAATATCGATTAACATAACCCCTAACTTGACCAAATTGAAAAATAAGTACTATAGATCACCGACTGAGGACTAAATTATTTCTTGAAGTTTCCAAACAAAAAAATTTATTAAACCATCATGCCAGCCTAATGTGCATATATTGCAAAAGATTCTAACTGGCTTTGGAATATTCGACAAAAGAATCACAGTGCAAGCACAAGCTAACTATATGTATCTTGGTGTCCTGATGCACTGTTGGCACACCCATGGTGCATCAAGCATAATGTGGCAAACAGAGTATAGTATAACCACAATTTCCTTCCAAATACTCACAAACCATGCCAAGGTGCAACTGAAGATTCTCTTACTATAACTTGGCAACTATTTCAAAACTTTGGCTGCCACATCTCTAAAACGATGTGTCTCTCCTACTATCCGAATCCTTTTAAGTTTTCCTCTGATATTAGTTAATAACCTACAGCAGCCAATGTAGTCTTCATGCTAAACCAGAAGATACTGAGTTTGAAAACCAACTATAAGTATCTTAGGTCTCATTAGGTTGCTCCAATTTGAGTTTTCTGCAAGTGAACCAATAGGCTGCCACCCACATGATCTCCATTTAATTCTTCAAACTGTTACCAGTAGCAAACAATTTCACGAAAAGGAGTATTAGACCATATGGAGACAGCAAAAACATATATCTCCTTTTTCTAATATTGCAGGTCTTCCCAGATTGGTGGCTTGGCACGATAGAGTGAAAAGAATCAACTGTAAGCAGGTGATGCAACCAAAATATCTTATAGGATTTCTACACTAAGTCTGCAGATCAGACCTACCATTTTATGGAGTAGAAGCCCCAGTATCTAGGTAATTGTGAGTGATTAAAATCTAGTTTCTGCATGAGAGATGAAAGAATTTGACTTCTACAAATCGGGAAGACCAGTCTGCTCTACAACCTTGACAAGAATTCCCCGAACAAAAGATCTAGGATTAATTTCTTATACATGGTTTATCAAATAACGTAGGTATTAAGATAAATTCTCACCTTTATGTTCCTCAGCAGCATCGTGGAACTCTTGTTCGTCCTCCGGCACCACGTGTTTCTCCACCACCTCGTCTGACTTTGGGCCCTCTCCATTATCAGTTGCAGGTCCTGCAGCCGCCCCATCATCGGGGTAACGAACCACCACAACGGGGCAAACGCAGTGATGCACGCAATAATCGCTGACGCTCCCGAGCCGGCTCTTGCTGATGCTCCTGGCGGCTCCAAATCCCCTGCTACCCATGATAACCGCGCTAGGGCCGAGCCTCTCCACCTCCAGACACAGTCGCTCCTTCATGTCGTGGTCCTTGACGATGTGTATCTTGAAGGGGATCTGCGCCTCCACGAGGGGCTGCGCCAGGTCCTGCGCCTTGGTCGTGGTGAAGGCGTCGAAGTCCTCCTCCATCTTCCGCTGCGACTCGTGCGAGTCGGGACGCCCGTTCGCGGCGTCGTCATCGTCGGCGGCGACGGAGACGGTGAGATCAACGGCTCCCCAGTCAGCGCCGTAGAGGACGCTGGTGGGGCGGACGTGGAGGAGGATAACGGCGTCGCCAGGGCGGAGGTAGTTCTGGACAGCCCACCTCACGGCGTAGGCGCTCTCGTCGCTGAGGTCGACGGCGATAGCGATCCGGCGTTGGGAGCCCGCGGAAGCGTAGGTGATGAAGCGGGGGGGAGAGGGCTGGGTCCTCAGAGGCGGAGCCGCCTGGCGATCGGTATCCGGCAGAGCCTGATGCGTGTCCATGGCGAGGAGGATCAAAGCTAGGGTTAGAAGCAGCTCGTCTGCGACTGGGTTCGCGACGCGATCGGCGTCGACTGGAATAAAGGTCGAACGCGACGTTGAGGAAGGAGGTCACGAGAAGACGCCGCACTCGGAGACAAACAATGAGAATATATTATATATTTATTAAATAAAATGTTAAATGACAACAATACACATCTCGTGGACGTGCCGGAGTGGTTATCGGGCATGACTAGAAATCATGTGGGCTCTGCCCGCGCAGGTTCGAATCCTGCCGTCCACGCTAATGTTGTTTTTTTAATTATTTTAATTTTTATTATCCTAATTATTTATTTATGTTGTATTTATATATATATATACATATATACATATATATATACATATATACACACACACATATATATATATATATATATATATATATATATATATATATATATATATATATATATATATCTCTCTCTCTCTCTCTCTCAAGGTTACTACTTTTAATACTGGATTTCCTTGTACCCGCCTCACGAACCCATAGTGACCAAGGCGCAGTGGGGCCTAGCTAATCTCAGCTACGCCCTCGGTGTGGAGTACATATGCCTGAATCCTGAATTGAAAACTCGAACGTGTAGCTAGAAAAAACTTTGACACGAACGATCGCGCGATGCTGTATCCTGCCGTCCACCACGAAATACGTGGACCCCACGTGTGGTGTCGCCCCACCGGAGAATCCTCTCGTCGCTGCTGGGCGCTGTTTTCTAGTGGGACCCAGCAGCGGTCCCGCAGTCAGTTATCCAATGGCTTGCTCGCGCATGTGTAAAACGAGTGCAACGCCCGAGTAAAATGTTGCTACTCGATTCGAGCAATCCTGGGAAACGACGGTTGCATCGATAACTGGACACGTCCAGTGACCCGCCAGTGTCCCACCGTGGGCCCAACCATCTCGTGCCACCTCACGGACGATGGCTTGAATCCCGGATCGGTCAAAGGTTGTGGATCGTATCTCTGCTTGCATCGCCCTCAAAGCCTCCCCTCGGATTCAAACCGGAGTGCAGGAAGAATCGAGCAGAGGCGCTCCGTCTCATCTCGAGATCTCTGTGATCCCTCCCACGAGATCCTTTCCCGGGTGAGCTTCCTCGATCCAATTTTATAGGACTCGATGCTGTATGGCTCCCGACCTCCTTTTTTTTTTTTTTTTCGTACGAAGGAAAAGCCTTAAGGTTCCGTGAGGATTTTGGGCGTTTTTGGATGGATCTTTTGTCTCCATTCCAGCTCTTCGTGGTTTTAGATGGAGGCATATTTGGCTACTGTTGAGCGTATATTCTTAGAGAACTCGGATCTGTTCGTCGTAACCGAGACACATATTGGAATCTTGTGAAATCATTATGTGGCCTTAGATCGTCATGTATCTGTTAGATAACTTGGAAGCGGTGATTCTACATCTGGAATAAGAGTCAAGCTGTATCTGGTGCTTCGCTATTTGGTCATTTGAAAATGGCATCGCAGGGGTCCGCTGGATGTATTAATCGCACACGATTGATGTTGAACCTTTCTTGGATTATCAAGAATTCTGCCTTGCATCTATATTTTTGCTTATTTATTTATTTTTCTGAAGATTTAGGTTTCAGGAGAGCAAGATCTTGATGTTAATCCCTTTGTGTTATAATGATTTTGAGAAGAGAAGGACGAAGGAAACTAGTTCTGAATGCCCTTCACCTGTTATCAGTTAATATGGTAAAAGAATTTCTTTGTTGAGGAGTTCACTGGTTCTTCAGAATTCAGTATAATATTTTGTAAGGAAAAGAATGCATTTTGATAAGATCACTGCTTTTAATTTGGTTAGATTGGTGAAACCACAAGTTATTAACCTTATATTATCTGTTCATTATACCCAAGATTTTGTGGCATACCATATAAAATTTCTGAAATATGCCTTTTCTATTTATTCTCGAATAAATTTTATAATCATATCTATATTTGTGTTGCTTGAAGACTTGTCAACATTGGCTCTAAAATAATGAAGCAAGTATGATATCTTGTTAACGGTTCAACATAATTGCAGTATTTCTTTCAGGAACGGAGGTCAGTAGTTCCAGAATGTCTCTTCCATTGAGAGATTTCTATATCCCAGATTACATACTGGTACCGGACTCAGGAAAAGAGGATGTCTCAGAAGAGCCCACTTGCCCTGTGATTGTTTTTGTCAATTCGAGAAGTGGTGGCCAGCTTGGAGGTGATCTAATTAAAACATACCGTGAGCTTCTCAATAGAGTTCAGGTACTTCAATTGCTTAGAGTAGTTAGTTGCAATAAAAAGTCATCTATTTAAAGAACTATAATCATTACAAGTTTTGGATATCGATTCGGGCAATTAATTCTTCTTCAGGTTTTTGATCTGGGAGAGGAGGTTCCTGAAAAGGTGCTTCAAAGACTTTATGCTAACTTTGAAAAGCTCAAGGCTGAGGGTGATAAACTTGCTGAGCATATTGAGAGGACATTGAGAGTAATAGTGAGTGAAACACTTCAAAAGAACACTGATATCAAATACCTACATTTACTTGGTTTTTACTTTTTTTCTTTAGATTTTTCAACTCGTTATTCAAACACCCCTGTTTTTGTCCATTTTTTGACATACAAGTTGTATGTTAGGTTGCAGGTGGTGATGGTACAGCTGGTTGGCTTCTTGGTGTGGTTTGTGATCTTAAACTTGCTCAGCCACCTCCAATTGCTACCGTGCCTTTGGGAACAGGAAACAACCTTCCCTTTTCATTTGGTTGGGTACGTCAAGTGCTAAGACTATTTCCCATTTCTAATCCATTTAACAAAATCCCCATGCACATGGAGATTGGCAGCTATGGGATTTTATAACAGGTTTTGTCCTTCTTGTCTTCTTGCCCCTTGAATGCGAGTGACTAGCATTTAAATTTCTGTCCATGCTTCTATCTGGATGGCGCATCTTCCAGTAACATGATTGTACACATCATTTCTACATTGTTAGATTGTTGCCAATGATATTGCCAGAAAAATAGTTGCGACATGACACCATGTTTCAGACTACAAATACATATTTAATTTTGTGAAGATCTACACTGCAAGCATTTATTTATGTCATTTTGTTTCAGTATTTCTAATCGACTGCAAAATCATCTGGTATACCTCGTTTGAGATATTGCATCCAATGGATTTTAATTGATTTAGATGATAATAGTGTCATAATTCCATTAATTTAACTGCATTGCAGGGGAAGAAGAATCCTGGTACTGATCATCAGTCAGTGAAGTTTTTCCTTGATGAAGTGAAGAAAGCAAAAGAGATGAAAATTGATAGGTATTGTAGTGTCAATAGTTTTAGTTTAGTAAGGCATTGTTTTGTTACATCTACTGAGACCTGAATCCTTAAGTTCTACCTAAGAGTTGCCTCTGATATTTTCCCCTATTGTGTACATATATATTTTCTAAGTTTCTCCTTCCATATATAAGTATTATTTAACCATAGCACTAGATACTTGCAGCACTACTACCTCAAACCTTCAACCACATAACTGTGCATACAATGTGCCAACCAATAGGATATGTCTATGGTCTATTTGACAAATTTGAGATGATAATTTATCATTACAGTATATATAGCTTCAAGTAACAGAAGTGGACTATTTGGCCTAGGATACATGTCGCAGATCCATCTTTTAATGTTTTGCATTCTCATGAAATTGAAACATAAGTAGCATGCATAATGTTTTAAGTTATCTTTGTCCTTTTTCACGTGCATGTATTTCTGTATCTCTTTCAACACTGGACTCTTGAATACACTTACAAATGTAGCTCATTTTTCAAACAATAATGATGACTATTGGATTACTTGGCATGGAAGATACCGGTGTGGTCATCTGAACTTCCATAGCCAATGAAACTGAGAATCAGATGCATGTCAATTAGTTTATCATTCATGCATTGCTCTGATTACAAATAAATATATATCATAGCTATCAGTGAAATAACATGATCAGCAGGGTGTTGAGGTTTGGAATAAAATGTGCTCCGTCATTAACATGTTTACTTAAGGCAATCAGAGTCTATCAAGAGAGCTGATGATTGCCTGTCAAGGATCTCAGACTCAATTAATGATTAGTTTCTAACTTGCACAATAAACCTAATTGGTTACTTGCAATCATCAAGATCAGTAGTTCAAGTCACACTCAAAGGTTGAGCACTTTCCCATTGATATAGTAACAATAGTATCCTTAGTCATAGCCCAAACTCTAAGCCATTATCATTTGATGTCCTTTAGGAATCTTTGGACACAAATATTTCCAACCTCTTACTTTCATTGTTGTGAATCCTAGAATTGATTCTCACCAATTCTTGTGTGTATATGCATGCAACATGGGTTTTGAATTATACAAATGGAAATGTTTCTTTAGCTAGCATTTAATGCTACTATTGGTAGCATGTGATATTTAGTATTTAACCTGTGTGATGCTGACCATACTAATGTTTGATCATTTGTATTAGAGATATGTGATAGTGATTATTCTTGGTAAAGACTTGTGGCCACCTATATGGTTATGGCTCATGACCTTAAATTAAGCATCGATCTATTCTAGTGTCATTGTTATATTGATGTTTTGCTTGCTTGGTGCACTCATTTTGTGTTGGACTTATTTTATAGTGATTATGCTCTAAGGAAACTTAAGGACTGCATATATGGTTTTAGCTATGATTTAATAATTTAAGCATTGGGTTAGTTTTGAGTTGCTGACATGTGCCAATCAGCATGACAGTTGTTGCACATATTTACCTGTGCCCGTTTACTAAAAGTTGAAAACTGAAGTGTCTCAGTCTAGGATGAAGCATACGCCCCAGTAGATTTCCAACTTACAACTTATAGCCTTTTGTTTTACATCAATTTTCAGCAGAATAGTTTCATCCTAGCCTGCTATGAGAAATTTGCAAATTCGACTTTGATATCCAGTCCACAACTTAAAATATGTATTTCAAGTAATGTCAAGCATAGATCTTTTCTTACTACAGTATTTCCTTTCAACTAGTATGTAGAACTTAAGGATGTAGATCTCTTTTCTCAGTTTTATCACTAATTGAACTGGTTTACTTGAATGTCATTGACCTCCAGTTGGTGAATAAAATAAATGTAGTTATCCTTTTCTTTCCTCGTTCCCTTAGTGATGGTATGTGAGCATGCTTATCATACGTATTCTTTTGACATCGATCTAACTTGTATCATGGACAGTGGCATGGGCTTAACATGGCATGGCATCTAGTGCAGATAATTGATTACTCCATGGTTAATGGGTGACAGCATCGATACCATGTGCAATCCATGTTCTTATACATATTTGCAATGACATTCTAGTGCGTTAGGCATGCAAATGCATGGTTCATGGAAAGTTAGAGTTACAGGATAGTTGTTCTTGTTATAGATGTTAAATCCCATTATTTTGTTGCAATTTCCATCCCTTCATTTTATCAGTTATGATTTGGATATACCTAGTGATGATCTTTGCAAATTCTGGAGGTGTATTTCTTCATGCTTGTAAACATTTGGACTTTGGAGTGGATATTGTTTTTTGAATTATTGCTTCTATGTTCTACTTTAGCTGGCATATTGTCATGAGGATGAGGACTCCCAAGGAAGGTACCTGTGATCCAATTGCTCCACTCGAGTTACCTCATTCTCTACATGCATTTCAACGTGTATCAAGTTTAGACTCACTTAATGTGGTAAGGCAATAATTTTTGGTTGAAAAGTACTTTAAAGTGTTCAGACACCGAGTGTAGTTTGTTTCCCTTTACTCTTTCAAACTTTCTGTATTTTTTACATTGTTTATCACATAAATATGTTTTATCTTCTACCAAAGAATTGACCACATTTCTTATTATAATGTAAATTTAGATAATGGGTTGTTGATTATTTTATCTCAGGAAGGTTATCACACATTTCGTGGTGGTTTCTGGAACTACTTCAGTATGGGTAAGAACTTACCTATGCAAATTCAGCTACTTATAAGTTTTAGGAACTTCATGGACATGGTAGTTGAGAAATTGGTTGATCCATTCAAGTAATGGAGTTACAATTGTCCAACTGTTGTTTGTCTCAGATAGTGTTCTAGATGTGAATGCAATTGTTCTACCTTCTATATGTTGTTATGATTCTCACTTGGGTCAGGACTGTATTGCTATTTGATTTCTTTCTGATCACTCTGTCTTTGTTGTTCTGTTCACCTATATACATACCTTATAATTCAAATCAGAAGACTGCTGTCCAACTGAAATCATGATTCTTTTTATTCACAAAAGAAGACTAATTTATTTTTGAGTTTTTTTTCTCACACGACCTTTTAAGTAGAAATAGTCTTATTGACCATTGAGAATTTTCTAGTACACCATGTGACAAAAGGTATGCTGTATTATTTTATTGCAATTTATTATTTTCTTGATAAACTATAAGTTGATATTTGATCTTATCTGAACATAAAGATTACATTGATGCACATACTGACAAAAGTTATATCATATTAATTTTTAGGAATGGATGCCCAAATATCATATGCGTTTCATTCCGAGCGGAAGCTGCATCCAGAAAAGTTCAAGAACCAGATAATCAATCAGGTTTCATTTTCCTGTTACAGTAACATTACAGTCTTCTATCCTTATTACATGCTTGTTCCAAATTGTAAAGATCAAGAGATCATAGATAATACTTGCAGTTTTCTTCATTAGTATTATCATGTGTGCAAATCATAGTTTCCATCCAAACTATATGAATGCTCATTACAAGAACATTGCCATTTATGATCCATGTGCATATATCCCCATTTCATGCATTCTTCATTCATTATCTCTTTGAGATTCATAGATCTAGAGGGGAAAAAACAAGAGAAGATATGGTTCTACCATTAGACTTAAAAGTACCATTTGACAAATCTGCTACATGGCCTTAATGGTGAGCCAAACTCAATCCTAAATATAGATTATTGGGAAAGAAACAGGTCAATGCTACAACATGATGGTTATGTCTCCATCGGGATGCACCACAGTATAATAATCTTATGCGTTTTATGACTTCTTAATTTAATCTTCTATAGCTTTGATGTTTTAGTTGCTTATGTACCTTATCCCATGTAAATCTCTTCCACTATAACTAATGTTTTTTGCACTTATATTTGCTCGCAGACTACCTATGCGAGACTTGGGGCTACGCAAGGGTGGTTTCTTGCTTCTCTTTTTCATCCTTCTTCAAGGTAATGTCTGAGTCAATGGTCTATACAGGTTGGATAACTGAAATATAATCTTCATTCAATGTTCTGTTACCTTAGTTTATGCCAGTTAGCAACACTCACAGTTGCAAATCAGTAATTTAAATTTTGTTAATCAATTATCTTAAGGATTTGACCAGCATGAAAGGGAAAGGGCAATCGTGGCCAATGTTATCGCATCAATCAGGAAAGGAGATTAACGAACTAATAATTAGTATATCACAGATAATATTTTTTCATCCCATTAACCTGGTAATGAAGTTCAATGTAAAATTAAATTCTTAACACTCTGGTATAGCTTCTTTTAAGAAGATCCTACTAGAACTTAACTGATCTCAAATAGAGAGTGAAAGGCTTGTGTAAGTGTTATGTTGTTGATGAGGACATATCAAATTTCAGTCACATAACATGCAACGTCAGATACATAAGATGAAAATGGATTCTGTTCCATGGTAGATGATGTGCCTTATCGACAAGAAGCCGTAGTGATTCTTAAAAGATCGGTCAAGCAAGATAGTGAGAATATTTAGAGGGCTGATGATAATTCATTCCATTGTCCCACGAGAAATCCTGGGTGCTCTTCATGAGAACTGCTTGCCAAAATTTCTCAGTTAACTAATACTGTGGAATTTCAATGGAAGAAATTAAATTTGTGATGGATAGTACGTGAACTTGCCATGAAAATCTTCAATAAGCATCTGTGGTGATAAGAGTCAAAGAGGACAAACAAATCACCCACCATGATGTTTGAGAAATGATGATTCTTGTGTTGATCCACATGTTTGACATCAATTTAAACCTTCCTAAAATAATTTATTATTTTAAAAACAATTCCCTGTGATAATTCTATAGTGCTATAATGCAGGAATATAGCACAGCTTGCAAATGTGAAGATCATGAAAAGACCAGGCCACTGGGAAAATCTCCATATTCCTCACAGGTAAATATGGTTTAAGTATCTCCGGTTCCAATTGGCAGATGAAATTACTCCCTTCCTCGCATATATTATATGCCAACCAAATATGTGGAATGATAGAATAACCTACTTGATCATTACATCCTTATTCATTTATTGGAATTTAGAAGGACAACTATTGACAGTTGATTTTTTGTCGTCTGTGATATTTTGACTGGAAAAGTGAACAATCAAGTACTAACTTTGTGCTGATCAAATCAAAGTTTCATAATTTCTTTTATCAGTTTTGCTTGCTTGTATCAATTTTATATATCTTTGTATTAAAATTTATGGGAGGATTTTTTTGTAATATTCATATGGTTGTCCTTTTAATCAAGTTCAATTTATAACTATAGTTGATTGTTTAAAGAATGGTTTTATTACCATATGTTGTGGTTCATGAGATTTTGGGAGAGAAAAAAAGATCTCTTTGGTGAATATTGCTGATTTTTTGAAGCTTTGGAAATTGACTGAACATCTTTAGCTTTTTCTTGATTGAAGTTCTGTTGTTTTCGCATAAGATAATTTACAAATTAAGATCAAATAGAAGACCATAATTTTTAATTTATCCTTTTGAATGTATACCTGTACATCTTATTTCAATTATTATTTTTAGATTTAGATTGTCTACCTGTGATATCAAAATATAGAGGCCGTCATCTCATCAACCGCTTGTCGTTTACAGTATTAGATCAATTGTTTGTCTCAACTTACCTAGCTTTTCTGGGGGACTTAATCCATGGGGGACTCCAAATCAGAAGAAAGCAACAGAAGTAAGCTGCTCTGTGATATTTTATATGTCTCTCTTTCACAGTTAAACCATTATAAAATATGCATAAGATTCCTTCTATTCATGGGAAAAACTAACCAAGATTCTGATGTCTTGTAGAGGGATCTTACTCGACCATATGTTGATGATGGGCTTCTTGAGGTTGTGGGTTTCCGGGATGCATGGCATGGCCTCGTCTTGCTTGCTCCGAACGGGCATGGTACCCGTCTTGCACAGGTAGACTAGCCTATCTATCTTACATCTGCAAGTTGCCAGTTGATTTCCTCTCATTTAATATTTCATAGACATCTGGGCAACTTCACCATCATATTATATGTTGGGATAATTACCCAAAGTCATGTTGCTAAGCTCCAATCTTACCTAGATTAATCTGGTCATAGATAACCTGAATGCTAATATTTTCATGTTCCAGGCACACAGAATTCGCTTTGAGTTCCACAAGGGTGCAGCAGATCATACATTCATGAGAATTGATGGGGAGCCATGGAAGCAGCCTTTACCTGTGGATGATGACACAGTTGTGGTTGAAATCTCTCATCTCGGGCAGGTCAACATGCTAGCAACCAGAGACTGCATTTCCAAAAGTATCAATGACCCTTCGACACCTTCAGCAGCGAGCCATCATGGGGATGAGGATAGTGGGGATTCTGAGGATGAGTGGGAAGGAGGGAGGAAAAAGTTTGGTGCAGCAGAGACATTCAAGCTTCCGGAGGACATAGATATTGCTCATCTTAGTTAAGATTTATCTGTGCCTGCTGCTTTGCAACCAAGGTCTCCAACACCGGTGCCATATTAGTTTCAGTATCCTGTCAAGCTTAGTATTTGGTGATATTCCGAGCTATATTATTTGGTGTCACTAAATAAATAAATAAATAAATAATAATAAAAAATGTGTACCGGTACTGAATTATATGTTTCGGTATCAGCCCTACCGATATGTAAAACCTTGTTCGTAATATTTGAGCCATATGTGTAAATTGGACCAATCTTTGTTGGTGAATCGATTGATTTATTTTAATGAGCTTATACATGGAAAAGGTTGTCGATGGGAACTGATAGGTTTGACCTTGATAAATCACTGAAATGATGGTACTTGATCTTATGAGTGATATGCATGAGTTGCTTGAGATCTCATCTACTGGCTCATAAATCCAAATATTGATTGCGGTTGTACCTTTGGGAGTTCCTAATTTTTTTTCTGAGATCCTACGCATTGTTGGCCTTTCTTCGTCATCTCAACTCCTCCTGATACATTTCTTCATCCGCTTTTATTTGGATTAAAAATTGCTTGCTTAATAATTCTATTTTTATTATAATATATTATATATATATATTGTTTGATCAAAATCTATCCTTGTTTAAGTTAGTATTGATCGTAAGGTATCGACTGAATGTCATATGTGCCTCGAAGACATGCTTCAATGTTATTGTATTGAATCGGGTTAACGGTATCGAACTATTGATCACGTCAATATGTTTATCACATGAGAATGAGATATCGAACATATTATTTTTTTTATAATTTGAAATATTGCTTGATAGTGAACTGCATCATGTTTACATATCTATTTCATGAATTATCACAATATTATGATCAACTTTTGTCCGTACATAGTTGGAATTGATTGTTATAGGGAATAAGGTGACATCAACTTTGACTTGCTGACCCACCCAATTACCCGCTGCCACCTAAGTAGTGACGAGGACATAGGAGCCCATGTGCCTCCCCCCTCACCACAATAAGCAGTAGGGAAGCGACTTGTCACCACCTGCCAATCTCAATTTCAGGAAATAACGTGATAGGGAATAAAATGATCAACTTTTGTTTGTATGTAGTCAGAATTGATTGTGATAGGGAATAAGGTGATGTTCGCTTTGACTTCCCGACCCACTCAGCTACCCGCTACCACGTAAGTAGTGACGAGGACAGAGGAGCTCATGTGCCTCCCCCTCCCTGTGGCAAGCGGTAGGGAAGTAACTATTCATCCCTTGCCAACTGCGATTTCGAGAAAGATCGCATGGTCGATCATGATGAGCATTAACCCTTGACGACGGAGCCCATCTCCTCCTTTTCCGGTTGCATGTCCACAGGGAGCATTAATCCCTAGCATCCTGGCTCATTTCTCACTTTCCCGATCGCTCAGCACAAGCAACCGTTGTCTATTTATCCGGCAGGCTCCGGCCCAAACGAACGATGCCATGTGGTCATCCTTCACTAACGACCTGACACGATAAAATGTATCAGCTAATCGTCGACATAAATGAGCCCTTAAACGACGATGAATTGAGGAAAGAAGCTATTAGCCTCCCGACATCGATCATTAGGAATAAAAGCCGACCCTCAAAATCTAAAAGGGAAACGAGAAATTTCTATTATTCCTATTTCACCATTGATTTTATCATCGGGGGAGTCGAGTTGAGAACTCCCCCAATGTTGACCAGATGTGCAGGAATCTCGGTGAAGCCAAGGTGCTCCTCGGTTCAACTCCATAATCTCAAGGAAGTCCAACCACCTTGACCTAGTTTGGAATCCACCTCGAGCGAATAAGTAACATATCGGAATCGTGACGACTAGTTTTTTTCACCACAACCAACATCCAAGAACACCATATAGGCTTCCAAGATGAACTTGTACCTTCGGGACGGGACCTGCCGACTATGCAAAACTTTAATGCACACATCTTTACGAACTTACATATTAGTACAATGTGTCTATGTACCTATTTATCTTCAAGAAATGTGCCCTAAGCATGTATTGGTACATTTTGTGCACCCTCTTGAGATCCAAAATATTTTTATAAATTGACATTCGACATGTCATAATTATTTGATCGATGTTGATATGACTATCTATTCAATCAAAATTAATAAACATATGATCTTATTGTTATTACCTGATGTTGTCAATCAGAGATCATCGAGACGACTTGATCTTATCCCGAAGGCTTAAAGTTGTCCAGGTGATTCTTGTGACGATCAAGTGAGGGGATTGCTATAGGGAACGAGGTGAGGTGGTATTCGTGCGTCTAGTGTGGATTCCAATCTCCTTAGAGATATTGTACAAAGGTTGATGTTGGGGGGATTTCCTGACCCAATCCCTCCGATAGTCAAGTTAATTAGTCGTGAAGTAATGGAAACGAGAGGGTTCAGAGTGTGAGGGGTCCAGTTTCTATGTAGGTATCAAGAATCGATTCTTATACCTGAGCAACCGGGGGTCTGCCCATCCCCATCCGAACGTCCTTCTTCTATTATTTATTTATGTGGACGATTGGTCTGTACGACCCATTGTGGCTTGTCGTACGTAAAGGTTGACAAAAAGGGGAGCCCGCTTATTAGCTCTAGCAATTGACGTAATCGGTCCGAGTAACTCCTTACGGCCTGTTGTCCACAGGAGCCGACCAAAAGAGGGGAGTTGGTTTGTTCGATCGCTCAGGGCCCATTGCCCCTAGCGACTATCCATCGTGAATGACCTGGCCCTTCGCATCAACTCCTTCGTGGCGTCCAACAAGCAGACTTCGATCCACGTCAGAATCCCATCACTTATTTCATGCTCACATAATCGTTTTTAACATTAACCACTATCTCAACTCAACAATCGCTCCAACATGAATAAAAAAAAAAAAAAATCCAGAATCCCTCGATGCATACTTGAAATTGGCTGAGAAGTTTGAACTCCCACCACGAATTTCAGAACCGGTTGACTCATTCATCAATTCAAGGGATTTTTACCGAAAAATGGCATCATAGTGATGAAGTAAGGTGCAGGAAACACAGAGCGTCAGCGTCTGTAGAAGAAGTCGCAACCAAGACATCACGTCGGATGATGTTTTGGGAACACGAAGCACGATAATATATGATAGAGCTGAGCCTCGAGTGCGACTCCTTGAGTGCCGCAGCGCAGCAGAGTTGAAAGCTCACGAAATGCTGAATTAGGAGAACTGAAATAAAATATATCCGATAGATAAGTGTTGGAAACGTAACGAACACATATAAAAAGGTTAACTAATAATGTCAACAAAGTCATCCCACCAAATAAAAAATATATATATATATAGCAGATAGATGCTCAACAAAGAGTTCACCTCTTTATTCCCTACCCAATACATGTAATCGTAGGACCTCTTGTAGCATATGCATGACAGTAACCACAGTTCATCCATTCATTCATTCATTCCACACCAGAGTTACTTGTGTATAGATAAACAAGACCCGACTATTCTTTCAAGCCATTCATTCATACATGAGACACACACATAAAAGATAGCATTGATCATTTCATTTCTATTTGGAGGTATATTATCTCACATCACTTCAAGGAATCAGATTTGGCACCTGACTTCTTCTACACCCTGTGAAATCCTTACCCTTCTTTGACCATGTCACTGGGAAAACAGAAATTCCACTTCAAAGAAAAAAGAATGAAAGGGGGTTGAATGAAGCTCCCAGCTGAAGTTTTTGTCCCAAGCAACCATAGGTGTAGGCAACTGTTCCAACCCATGCAAGGGCATCTAGAAACAATGAATCACACACAAAAAGTTGATGCCAATCACCAAGAAAGTTTATGCTAATCACTCGATTAACAAAAGCATGACCAATCAACACAAAAGTTGATGCCAATCACTCGGTTAACTGTAGCAATTCATGCAAGAGGTAACCACTGTAGGAACCAAGAAAACTTGTAGTGATCGCAAATATCAGCAAAAAAGCCAACCAATAAATTTGGATGAAACAGTGTCGAACTATTTAGAAGCATTAGAAAACAAAATATTCCAAGATAAAGGTAGTCTAGAGGCATCTTGTTTGATAAACATCTTAATTTTTGTGAGACCAATCTCACCTTCCATTCAAGCATAAGTGATTCAGCCTTCCTTCTTTCCCTGTACACCAAAAGTAGCACAGCAGCAGCATTGCCATGGCGTGCCTCAAAAAAAAAAAAAAAGGCAACCGACACTCTCCAAACACTCCAAGAGTCAATTACATCGATTCCAGAGCTGTTTTTTTGTCTTTTACAATCCAAGGGATAGAGAATAAGACCACTCTCTATACCTTTAATGCATATTTATTACACAACATTCTACTCAAGTATGCTAAAGCATTAAAGAAGAAGAAATACATTCTGGCACCACATAGACGACAAGTTGCAAGGTAAGGCACCACGCTTTGGATTTACAAACTCATTTTAGATTAAACACACCAAAGAACACAAAGAAACCAGAGAGAGATGGTTTAGGTGGTGGCCTATACAGAGTATATTGACTCGGCGGTAATATTGATCAAGAAGCACTGGTACCAAGCTTTTCAAGATTATAAGTGCAGAGAGGAGTAAAATTTTATGTACAACTTCCTTTATAACCAAAAGATAATCAGGAATAGGATGAGAGTTATGAAACCATGATTTCATGTCATATACATATATCTAGGCAGTTGAAAGAATATTCCTTTACACATAATACAACAGTGACCAAATTTGGATTCAGTGATTTGCTTTTCTAAGTTGTACAAGATTATGACAACAAGTAGTAACGAAATAGACCTGCTTCAAGGGGAAATGATGAAGTAAAACCTCTGCAATGAAGCAAATATGTAACCTTCAGTGTGACGGTTGACAGAATGATTGAAACCCAAAGAAGTACATTTGAAAACAAATGATAAGAAATACAAATTCCTGAAAAATGCTTCAAAGGCAATTGATGCAGAAAATAAATCTGAAGAAATAATAAAATAGAAGAAAGAAATTGGGGTACAAATAGAGAGTATAATTTTTGGATGTCCTCAAAGTGTTAAGAATTACATGCAGAACACTGTCTTCTAAGAAAGTGAAAGAGACTTAGTTCATTTTCTAGTGTCAAAAGCCTTCTACAGAAGCATTCTTGGACTAATGTGAAAGTACAAAATAGTTGCCTCAACGGAAGAGAAAGTTAGTTCCAATGGATTCTTTAGCATTTAGAAAAGCAATTCCTTTAGTTGTTTGATCTGAATATAATTTAAGCTATTTTTAATTTCCATTTACTAGTTCTTTCATTTGTTCTTTTTGAAGGGCAACTGCGCTGAGCAATATGATGCTTATTATGGCTTTGAATCTTTCTTTGTACATTGAGATTAGGAGAGCTATGTTTCAGCTCCTTCAGGTTCAAGGCCTTGTCCTTTGATCTTTATCATGCTTAAGTTCAAAGATGTCACAGATTTACATTAGCATCCAAGATTATATCCAACAGCAGATTATACATTAGTGTTTTTTAATAGAAAATCATCTCTTTGATCAAACTTGCCTATTAGCAAAGTATTATATCAAGCTGGTTGAGAAATGATCTTTCATTTAACTACTGTAAAACTTTGGTCAGTGATGTATACAGAGAGACAGAAAATGGCAATAACAGTATTGTCATCCCCACTACGCCTCCAAGCTAACAGTCAGGGGTTGCAAAATCCAGTTCAAAATAGGGTCATAGTATAATTATATCTTGTAAAGACATTGGTCTCACAACATGGATCGAGTTTGCAACAAGTATTGACTTACAGTTTGGGCAGAAAAGAAATCTTTGCCGCAATTTCATTATCATTAATTTCAGAACTATGACAATATATTGCTTGACTAAGTATAATCAGTGTATTTAGGATAAACTAACGACAGCAATTTCCATAACCAACCTATTATAACTCTCCTTGCGGTGAGTTAGACTTTAGAGTAGACTTCCCAGTGGGTAGGGCTGAACTTGTTATCATCATGCTCACTCAAAATTATCTGTGCACCAACTGATGCCCTCGTGAAGCTCAACAATTGCGACTGAAGAAAATGCAAGAAATCAGGACAGCCGTCCAATATATTTTTGTTGTGCTGCTCTCCTATGAGTTCCTTGGGAGAGATCATCACTAAAGACTCAAGAGAACCAGCCTTCCCCAGTAAAAATTTCACCAAGCATATCTCATTGCTGTGACCCTTGAAGCTATTGATCTTTATCATCTTAAGGTACTCAAAATCAACCTCTGGAGGCTCCTCCTCCGATACCACCAAATATTTCTCAATGAAAGGATCACCCATGTTGGTTGGAAGCTGCAAGAATTCATAAGTGAATTAGGAATTGAAAAAGACAAGGAAAAAGAAGTCCATCACACTTACTACCACTCAATTCAACAACCAACCTCTATGAACAGTTTCTCCAATCTAGGGCATTGGCAAAGCCTAAAGAAGCCATAGATGTCCATTAGATTGTCATCAGTCATCATACCCATCAGCAGTTGCAACTCTCTCAAGTTTCTAAAGTTCCTGAATTCCCCGATTGCTTTCACACCTTCAGCCACAATGTACTAGGAAAAAAGAGGAAGGGGGCAGAGGTTCCAATATGCCATCAAGAATCACACTAGTGACGTGAAATATATCCCAAATTACCAAAGAAAACCCACAATTCTCTGTTACCTGAAGCGAAAGATTGCAAAGGGTCAAGACCTTGACGTTGGAGAGTTCGCCGAGTGCCTTCACCCAATTGCTCCGAGGTAGGCTCGACACAGGGCTGCCTGAGCTGATGTACACGTCCTCTAGTCTGCTGGGGCTATCGAACGAGTAGGTTGTGAGGTAATTTCCACTGAATCGGAAGCGTCGGAGGCCGGCAGACGAGATCGTGACCTCCAAGGCCCTCACACAGCCGACGATGGTGAGGCTGGTGAGACGGCTGCTGGCGGCCGTGATCATGATCCGCCGGAGCTTGCGGCAGAGACAGAGATCGAGCGACCGAAGGAAGGGACAAGCGGCGATGATCCTCCTCAGAGCGGCGTCGGTGACATGCGCCGCTTGGAGACTGAGGACCTCCAGGGAGGAGAGCCGCTTGATGTTGGCGCTGGGACTCGAGAGGTGGAGCCCAGAGATCGTTAGCCGGGCGAGACTGGAACACTCAGAGATAGAGAAGAAGAAGGCGGAGGAGACGGCAGCGCGATCGTTCCTTCTGGCGCGCCGCCCGGGGCGGGCGGAAGTGGCGGCGAGGGAGAGGGGCGAGACGACGAGGCTGAGGTCCTCGACGCCGCAAGAGGCAGCGTACTCGAGCCAGCGCTTGATGTCGGCGTCGTAGCGGCGGCCCGGGGGGAGAGCGACGAAGAGGGCGTCGATCCGGCGGCCGAGGCCCCGCGCGGAGAGGCATCGGTCGACGCCCGCGACGAATTCATCGGAGGCGGAGTCCCCGAGGTCGGTGGGCGGGGAGAATTCGAGGGCGGCGGGGTGGGGCCAGCGGAGGCGCCAGAGGGCACGCCACCGGGAGGAGAGCGCGCCGGTGCGGATGGCGTACTTGAGGGGGAGGAGGGAGAGGATGTGGAGTCGGACGGTGTCGGGGAGCTCAGTGAGGCGATCGTCGCCTCCCTTCTCACCGGCGTCGCGTCCGCCGTCGCCGGATGACGATGAGGAGGAGGAGGAGGCCGAGGCCGAGGACGAGGAAGGAGGGGAGAGGGAGAGGTCGGCGGCCCACCGGGACTTCTTCTTCTGCCTCATGATGGCTTGGAGGAGACGGCAAAGCCTTTCTGTGCTTTCGCCTGCTCTATTTGCCTTTCCTCTTCCTCGCCTCCTTTTGGTCTTCTATTACGGACAGCTGCAGCAGCAGCAGCAGAAGAGAGGGCTCGTTTTAGCCATCAATTCATTTAACCGCACGGAAGCGGGAATAAAAGCCGAAAAGGAATTAGTAAGATTTAGAAAAGGTTTTACTTTTACGGCTTTACCGCACGCGCAGCCTGACACGGTTACAACCGGCCGAATCAGCCGTGGGAATCGTCACGGGTGTTGTGGTCGAACCCCATACCCCCTTCCCACACCACACCGATCCGACCCGCCACTGACGCTCCACTCCTCGATGAGTCGTTGTTGATGACGTGCGACTCGTAAATTCCGCAAGAGAAAAATAATAATTGTTATTATTATTATTATTATTATGGTTGATGTGGGGTGACATGAACGTGTCACGTGGATCCCATGTGACGAGCAACACATCAAATCAAATGATGAGGACGGTGACTTGGTTAGATGGAGAAAAATAGAGAGAGAGAGAGATGCATCATTTTGTGGAATGGATTCGGACAAAATGTACAAAGCCTGGCTGTAGTCTTTGTTTCTTGTCGCATTGTCATGGTCTGTCTGCTGACCAATTTGGATTCGTTCATTCACATGCTGTTGATTTCAACGTATGTTGTTGAGATCGATTGCTCTCTCTTTGCATTGCTGGGTGTTTCTCTATTAAAATGCGATTTGTTCATTCACAGGTTGTTGATTTCGATGTATGCTGTTGAGATGGGTTTCTCTCTACTAAAATGTGATGGATGGATGGATGGTTGGGTTAATCTCGGCACATTGTTAATGTTGATTGTTTATTTTTGTAGCAGCATTGGATTTGCTGGATCTTGATGAACGCATATGTTTCATGTGAAAAAGACAATTTTGACATCTTGTTTTCCTTTTCCTTACCCCCCCAAAAAAAAAAGGTATTTCAAGATCGAGAATTAGATCTAAGAGAGAAAAAAAACTTGGATAGCATTCGTCCCGATTCATGTTTTCATTTTTATTTTTTCCTTCATGCATGGTTCCTTGGGGAGCATTTTGATGGATTTGAAGTGTTGCCTTCTCATCTGTTCCTAACATATCTAATTGAAGAAAGAGGCATGGCCACATCAAACCCACCTTGAATTCGATCAATCTCTATGGCTGCCATATATCTCATCTCATTCATATCAATATTGATCTTGAACAAGAATACAAAACTTAGAATCCATCTACTGTTCACATTAGCATTTGTAAGAAAATACACTTTGCTCAACATCAGATCAACTCGACCGCTAAAATGAACAACTTCTCTTGTAATTGGCACGACACAGGCAACGTCTGCCACTCCATCAGATGCAGCACTTGAAACCGGTGTAACACCTTAACTGGAAGCAATGTGCTCCTCTCCTGCCCACCTTCTTGGGCTTCACATCTGCAAAAACTCGCTTCGGGATTTAATGTTTCGATGCTCTTTGATGCCCACATGCTTAGATGCAAGAAGACGATACTTGTATGCTTGGTTCTCGATGCATCACAAATAGCAAATTGACAAAGCGATCGACATGTGCAAACCATCTTGGTGGTTTCTTATAAGATATATCAGATAAATGGCAAACAGTGATGATGTTTAGTTAAGAAGTAAAATTAAGAAATCAGATATAACAGCAAACTAAGTCGACAAGCCATGCTACCTCCAGGCTTAATAGTTTTCCTTTGTTTTTTTACATCTCTAGTCATCAGGATTTACCAGACTTGCATGATTGATTGCCTAGGGAACTGCTTAGATCTGCTTGATTCGTATCATCTTGAAAGATCACAACTTAATGCGAGAATATGATGTTCATTGAAAGCATACTAGCATAAAAGAAACGATGAAAATGATTTTTGCACAAACTATAAAGATTGACATGTTTGTTTATTATGCTTCAAATGGGGACATAGTAAGATAAAAATAGCATGCTTAAATTTCTTAATTATATTCAACTCATCTTCGAACATATAACCTACGCATAAACCGCATGCTTAATTTTCTTTTTTCTTATGTCCGCTGCTCTTTAAAACTGTAGCCAAGTACTACTATATTCTTCTCATGTGCGCCCTATGCAGGAAAAGAAAATGATAGCACACAAACAAAAAAGAGCACTCTTAAATTGTGCATAGCATCTGTGTATCATGGCATGATAAATGTCTATGGGTTGGCTATCAGGATCTCGCAGAGCACCACCTTGATCTAGTTAAGACTAAAGCAAAAGAATTCGAATCATAATGAAGTTCTACTTATATCAAGATTCTTTTTTGGTTGCCCCACCATATACTACGTGGTCTCTCACCTGATTTTCCCAGCTTCCGAAGTGATGCCTTTGTATCGTGAAAACGAACCTTGTATTCCTTCTTCCAAGCTGCATAACGAACCTTCAACTTCTGAAGCTCTTCGATCGATTTTTTAACAGACCCCAACTGCCCAGATTTCACCTCACTTAGAACACGAGCATCCTCCTCAAATATCTGTTTCTGCTTCTCAAACTCCTTTGTTAATTGACCAACAGCATTATTTCTGCCATCCACATCCTTTGACAGTCCAGTTACAGAGTCATGATGCTTAGTTGGTGGTCGTGCATCAGCAGGCATATCAAATTTTCCAGGTTGTTTAACCATGTCATTAGCAGCAAGGCTCTTCTGTACTGCAGCTAGGCTCACCTGTTTGCGATTGCAAGTTAAATCAATTATGCATGAACAATCTATTTTGAATTCCAGGAGCATGTACAAAATACCGAAAATACAAATGTGCATTCAGCTGATGGATAAGATTTAATCAGGTATTACCACTTCGAGTTGTTCTTTTTTCTCTTAACTATCCCTCCCACCTCCCCCATCTTTAAAGAGGTAGAGAAAATCATGAGAACATTGTCGTAAAAAGTAAGTGCTGAATTTCCCAAGCCAGAAGGAAAAGAAACAACCACAAGAAACAAGGTGGTTCCCAAAAACTCACCAAAACTACAAATAAACAGTTCACAGTAAGACCACATACTGGTGCAGACTCTAAAATCTAAATGATGATCCAATATTTGAGTAATGTGTACACCTAATTAGTTGGACGTAGAAAATATTAAGAAGCATCTTAAACTCTCTTAGAAAGAAAAGCAATATTCATTTAGTCATCACTTCAGAGCATAGAAATTCAGAATAATCAAGGGTATCAATATATTAGAGTGTGTTTTCCTTTTAGTAACTAAGTTAGTCAATCTCACCTTCAAAGACTCTATCTGTTTCTGATATAATTCCTCCATGGACTTCATCTTTTCCTCACACAGTGACCATTTGTCCTCAATCTGCTGAACTTGTTGCAACAGTTCAACATTCTCCTCCTCTTTCTGTCTCATTTCTGTCTTCATCTTAAGAACCTGCTTCTCGAGCTCTTCTGATCTGGAAGCATGCAACTTATCGTGGTCCTTGTCTGAAGCCTGCATTCATGATCATGAAATTTGTGCAGATGTACTCAGATGGTAATATTGCTCTTGGGCAAAAGAAACTCTATAATGTGTTTTATAGCTCAGGGAAATTTTAAATAGAATGAAATATCCTAGATCTATGTGTTAACAAAACAAATTTTTAATTGAGTAGCCTCATGCTCAGAACCGACGACAGACAAACTGCACCAGTTTTTTAAGTAAAAAATTGCATATGTGGTTTAATATGTTCCCTAGATTTACAGAAAGAGATACCACATAACCAGTGGAGCAACATTGTATTGATTTTCCATTCAACACCAAGAATCCATATATGGTGCAACTCAACAATCAGATACATAAAGATAATTCACACATGCACTTCATTGCTTGCAGTTAAAGAAGATATTTCATTTTACACCAAGAATTAAGCACCTCACCAATATTTGTATATAATTTAAAATCATTTACCATCCACACCCTTCTATTCTGGCATAATTAATTTGAATTTTTGTTTCTATATATCATCATGTCATTTCTCTCCTTCTCCTCGCTCACTCTCTCTGCCATTCTCTCTTGAGTTCGACACTTCGATAAATGTCTCAAGTTCATGTCCATGCAACACTGCATTGAAGCTGTGGATAACAATAAAAGTTGTAGCCACAGCATTAAACAAGTTCACATCACATTCATTTGTACTAGAGTTGAATAAGTTACTTGAAAATTTTCAGTGAATCACCGCTAATTCTGCACGTGAAATATTAAAAAGTAGTTTCAGTCGAATTAGTAAATATAAAACTAATTTGAGGCTTTCAAGGAATTGGTGAATCCATTGCTAACCCCTCTTGTAAAAACAATAACATTGCAAAATGCATCGAACACATGTTGACGCTTGTAATCATATGTCAGATACTCCATTAATGTTCAATTTTTTCACTTGTTCAGAAAATATTGAAGGTTACTTAAGCATATTTGCTAGATGACTTATTTACACAAATACTGATTTTTTTTTCTATGATGGACAAATTGGATATATACTTCAGTTATGTTTTATCTTGTGTCTCTTGTAGTCATCAGATGATGGTCAATGAGATCAAAATAATACATCACCTTATTGCTTCTCTACAATTTGGAGCATAAATTTGTTAAAAGTAAATATCTTTCCAAACATCCTATAGCCAACCATAATCATGTCATGATTGCATCAATACTGATATTCAAGCTTCACAACCATATCCTTATTACTTTAAACAAGTAAAAAAGCAAACAAGTGCTGAGTTATCCTTATTAAGCATGCTGAAGTTTATTAGGTCTGCATTAGTTTCTGTAGCTAAATGACTTTGATTACACAATGTCCAACTATTATAATTCTTAATTAACTTCAGCATTTGTCAAAATATTTTATAGTGATTATGCGTAAGACAAACAGACTTTTGCTGTTATGCAATAAACTTCAAAAAATTAAGATTCAGGCATATCGACTCGCTCCTTACCATTATGCTGAAAATTGAACATACTCTACACCAATAGCATCTAAAAATTACCACATTTTGTTTACTGATCCAAAAGAAGTTTATGCACTTCTGGAAACATCAACTTTGGAAAATGTAATTCTCATGGAGGGTAAAGTTTATCCTAAGCAACATTAGTTTCTTGTTTTTTTTTTTTCCAAGCAAGAAATTGAATCAAACATCAAAATTAAATTACCTCCTCCGCCTCTACATAGCCGCTGTGGTCACCGTTCTCATCTTCCGGATCTTCCAAGGATGCCTTCAAAGAAACAAAGATTTCAGGCACTTGTTCGTAGTACAGTAACTCTTCATCTTTAGTTTATCTCAGCTATCTCTTACCTTGATGCCAATACTGAATTCCCTCGACTCCGACCTCGCATCCCCTTCCATCACACCAGGATCTTTCGACGAAGATCCTGCCTCGTTCCTCCCAATGCTAAATTTCATAGGCAGGGATTTTTTCGCGGAAGGAAGGCGACGTCTCATTGTGGGTCGGGCCGGCAGTGCTGGAGGGACGTCCTTCGGTTTCTCTTCCCTCAGCTTGAGGGCATCCAGCATTTCCTCTAGCACGCTACGAGCAACGGTCGGAATCGCCGGGAAGGAGGACGCCATGATGATGCCAAAACTTCCAATCCCAAGCAGCAGAGAGAAACACAATGCTCTTCCCGCAATCAGAGCACCAGTTTCTTCAAATCAAAGACCAGAGGTCCTCAAAAACACAGATCGAGAACAACCGGCGGCCTACAAATCCCACCACGGAGGCCCCTTACCAGCTCATAAAGCTCCCTCCTGTCCTTACCTCAAGGGAAAACTCGTCAAAATCGAAACTTGGGTGTCTTGTTTCGTAGAAAAGCCAACAAAACCCCACCAAGATTGCAAATTTTCATTATCCTAACCAAATTAAACGCGAAAAGAATCAAAATACTGACGAACCTTAGGGTTCTTGATCCTGCATACTTCACAAATTAAACAAAATGAAAAGAAAAAAAAAGGAGAGGATAAAAAAATAATTTCGGGAAGGATGAACACGACCACCACTTCCCGAAATACAAACACAACAAACGAACGCGAGTTGCAGAAAGAAACAAGAAACGGCGAGATTGTCTTGGAATTAAACGGCGAAGAGCTCATCCTGATTCCGTTGCGCCACGAGGAATGAGGCGGCAACATCGGGAGGTGCTAATAATTATATGCATATGTCGTAATTATCCCTCTATATTTAAATATTGGCCTATGCATTCAATCCAACTTCCATCGGCTATTATTTTCTTAGGTCCGTTAAAACTCAAATTAACATTACTATTTTTTTATCTATATTTTTGAAATTATATTTTTATCTATATTTTAAAAATTAATTAATTAAAAAATATTGATATATCGTACCGAAAGGTCGAGAGTTTGAATAGATCAAACGTTAAAATGGATTATAGTTGTTCATACGTGATTTAGATCTAACCACGGCCTATTCTAAGTTAGTTTCAATCTTGGTTACGGTTCGTTTGACCCATCGAGTAGTTCAAGGTTTAGCCTGGCTGATCCCGTAAAATTTTTCCGAGACATTTTAATTGCTCTTTTTCTAATACCAATAGATTCTAGTTATTCAAACTAGCGAGATGGTTTGAATCCAATTAAGGTCCATTCCAAGTTTGTTTGTCTTAGTCTGGGCCTCGTGATATACAAATCTTTAAAGAACTAAATCGAGAGTATTCCTAACGAAACGAATGCCTTTTCGACAATCAAGTTAGGTTAGGGTTTTCGATTGATCCAACTAATTAATTGGAGTTGATGATGAATTATGCTTGAGAATATACTAAGGATCCCTTTATGACCCTAAAGATAATTATGCTTGAGATCGTCGATAGTAAGAGAGAAATATGCGATGTTTCAAATAGAGACATTGCGTTGATCGTCATACTTAATATATACATTGGCTAACTGTGACCTGTTACTGGCTAGATTATTTGATAAAAACTTTAATCAATAAACTTAAATTTTTACATAATTATAGAGATCGATGGGATCAACTAAATAAACCGATAAAACAAGAATCATGCATTCCGTTCATCGATTAGAATATTTGAATTCTAAAAAGATTAAAATACCCTCATGTTTTGTTTATTAAAGAAACATTTGATATATTTAAAAAATATTTTGATTTCATTTATTTTAATGATAAAATAATACAAAACAGATATATTGGTTACTTTTTCCTTCTCTAAGCCATATACCCATTCCAATCAATTTTCTTTCCCTATGTTACAAAAAAAAAATCATCTACTAAAACACATATATCTAAACTAGTTTATAATATTTTAGTCACCAACCTAGTCATATTATTTTTGAGAAAAAGAGTTACATTATTTTTGTCTAGTCTTGCAGCTGGAAGTATTATAAATTATATTCACTATAGCTTATACTTTTCTATTGTCATTCTTCGATATTGAGTGAATACAAATATTATAACTCTCTTCAAAATATATAAATATAAACTTAAAGACTGTATGAGAAAAAAAAAAAGATTTTTGTCATACTTTATGTCAAAACCTTCCTAATATCCATACAAGTCACTAAAAGTCTTATATAAATTATTTTATAAAAACTAAGACTTATAATAAGATTAATAAGTAAGATTTAAGAGGATTTAAACTAATTATAGAGGGTCTTATGGAATAACATCGATCACGCTCTTATGAAGTAACATCTCTTTAACGGTTATCATGCATATTGTTATCACATAAATATGCTTGAATATATTATAATAGCATTGTAACGATGCTTGTTTTAATAATAAAAGTCATAGATTATTTTTTAAAATATCTTACTATGATACCATGATAAAATGAGATACGACGAAGAAGATTGTATAATCTCATTGAAGTGAGCATAGATTTACTCTATTTAGTTATTTTAATCTTATCACGATCATAATTTCTATCAATAATAAGATTAATAAGTAAGATTTAAGAGGAATTAAACTAATTATTAAGCGTTTTGTAGAGTAACATCGATCACGCTCTTATGGAGTAATATCTCTTTAACGATTATGGTGCATACTTTTATCACGTAAATATGTTTGAATATATTATAATAGTATTATTACTCGATTGATTTACATAAGGGTTAAAAGAGTCACGCGTAGATAGATCGATCGATCGAGTTAGATATCCTAATAGCGGAGTCGATGGATGAGTTTAATATCCTAATAGCGGAGTCGATAAACTAATTAGGAATAAAATGATACATGATTATATGGGTTCCGAGAAGGCTTCGACAAGAATATCAAAGGAATCGATGGAACAAAATTTCATGATACTTTAGAATGATTTTGTGTGCAATATATGCATGACTCATTTGATTATGACTTCAAAATTTAAATGTTACGTTTCAAAAAAATAAAATCAATTAAACCACATATATTGCATTTGATTTTACATTGCCATCAATCTCCAAGCCGACCTCAACTTTCCGTCGTGTTCTATTTCGTTCGGTCACGCATCTTCAATTCTGTCGTCGACCGATTCGGAGTTCCCGACATGAACGTCCTCGTCGGAGATGAACTTGCTCCAGAACCAATGCTTCTTCCAGACCAGAGTTATCTCTTCGATGGGTACGCTCTTGGTCTCGGGCAAAAAGAAGGCGATGAAGGCAGTCATGATCGCCACCCACCCGGCGAAGAAGTAGAAGAGGCCAAACTTGAGGTGACACAGTGCGGTCAGAAACACCTGGGCGATCAAGAACGTGAAGAACATGTTGACGGAGACGGTGATGCTTTGCCCAGCCGAGCGGATCTCGAGGGGGAAGATCTCACTTGGTACCAACCACCCCAGAGGCCCCCATGACCATGCAAAGGCTGCAACGTAGAAGCAGATGAAGAGCACTATGATGCTGGCGTAGTTCTTTGTTACATCGGTGGCCACACCGCTGATCCCAAACTTGAACGCAATTAGAGTTCCCACCACCAACTTTTGCGCCGCAAAAATCATTCCGACATTAATCATCCGCTCAATCGAAGAATTCGTGAAGTGATCGATCGATCCAGAAAAGATACCTACCTGAGATATGAGCATCTGTGCGCCTCCTTGCAAGAAGAGCTTTCGGCGTCCAAGATTGTCCACGGTGGCGATCGAGACGAAGGTGCCGAAGACGATCACGATGCCGGTGATCACTGCCGACGCGAGGGAGGCCTCGCTGCCGAAGCCGATGGTTTTGAAGAGCACGGGAGCGTAGAACATGATGACATTAATGCCGGTGAGCTGCTGGAAGCAGGGGATCAGAATGGCCATGGTGAGCTGCGGCCTGTACTTCCTCTGCAATATGTTGGACCAAGGATGGTGGACGCTCTTGGCTGCATCGCTGGCCGCCACGAGGTCGTCGTACTCGGCTCGGATGTCTTCGGTGCCACGGATTTTGCGGAGCATGGCCTTGGCCTCTTCGTCGTGGCCGCGCTCGATGATCGAGTTGGGAGTGTCGGGCAGCACCAGCGAGCCGATGGTGATGACGAGGGCCGGGACCGCGGCGAGCCCGAGGCTGACGCGCCATCCCCAGCCACCTTTGATGGAGGCTGTCCCGTAGTTGATGAGGTTGGCGACGAAGATTCCGACGGTGATCATCAGCTGGAAGCCGATGTTAAGCGTGCCCCGGAGATCAGCAGGTGCCATCTCGGAGAGGTAGAGCGGCACAGCCTGCTCGCAAGCATACAACAGAGCAGAGCACAGTCAAGAAAACCGGTTTGCGTCCCTACTCGGACAGGGATGATTCTGTTGGAGCAAATAAATCGATCGTTTTGCCTGATTCGCGAAGCCAATGCCGATGCCGAGGAGGACGCGGCCGAGTATGAGCATCAGGACGTTCATGGCGGCGCCGTTGATGGCGGAGCCCAGCAGAAAGGTGATCCCTCCCGCGAACATGGACCACTTCCTCCCGAACATCCTCGTCACCGTCGACGCAAGGAAGGATGAAAGGAGGGCGGCCCAATACAGAGAGGACGTGAAGAGAGTCAGCAACTGGCTGTCGAACTTGCAGTATTGGTTGGTGCTCGAGTCTGCCATCTGCTGCTTGTAGACCGACGGAAAGAAACGGGAGAGGAAGGAATCCATGGACGTCACTCCACCTTCGACCACACAGTAAAAGAAAGGTCGTGTTTTTTAGCAGAGTAAGCATGCGGGGTTTAGAATCGAATGCAGGAGGATAAATGTACCAGAAATTCCAATGTCGTAGCCAAAAATAAGGCCACCGGAGGAGGCGACGAGGCAAGTCAGGAAGACGAACAGCGTCATCTTCCCCGGGTGCTCCTTGCCACCGCCCGTGCTCACGATCACTCCGACCGCCATGTTATGCAATCTCCTCCAACTTCTGAGACAGAACGAAGGCGAAGAGGGGCGGAGGCTTCTCGATGCTCTGAGTCGAACAAGGAGGACGTGCTTATAAAGGAGCTCGAGGAAGGCAACAAGCTGGAGCAGTTATCCTTCAGCGGATGATATCCAGTTGGGATTCCTGCCGATGATGTTGGATTTGGCTGTCTAACTTCCATCTTCCGTTATCCGAGACAGATCATGTACAGGTAACTGTTGTCCTACATTTTGAAGACCACGTTTCGCATAGGAAATGGAACTTCGCAGTGAGAACAACATTGAAAGAAAGGCTCAATCAATCTTAACTTGTATAGTTCTTAGAGTTACAATTGATCATCTAAACAAGTAGATCGTTATGTATCTTTTCTTCCTAAAACACAAACATCTTCTCATCATACCAATTTGTCTTTAGTATCATGTGAGATGATAGAATTTTCGTAGATATATGCTCGATAATCTTGATATAATGTTTTGTTGGTCCAACGCATACGTGGGCTTTGACTAATGATTTGTGTTGTAAGCTCAAATCTGATTTATTAACAATTTTAAAAAAGAAAAAAATGAGGAGACGTGAGGGCAATGTACGAGAGAGCGTGCAACGAATTGTGGCAACAAGCTCTACAATCCTAACGGTGTTGATTTGCAGTTTATCCTCTATGAGGTACTTTTTTGCTATACCCATTTTGTGAGACCTAAAATTCTTTTTTGATGAGATCTGCTATTCTTAGCCAAGATATGTGGTCTTATGATGATTCTCTTGTTATTTTAGAGAAGACTTGTTGTAAATCTGTTATCATTATTGGTAATAGTGGAAGTTTGAGGTGGACTATGGTCCCATAATTTTTCTCGCATTGAATTTTTCATGTTAAAAATTTGATCTCTAATTCATTGTTCTGCTCTTTATGTTATTCTGGATAATATTTATATTTTGGTAGTTAAGTTAATATTTTGATGAGGAACCCATTTTGATACACAAATAGGGAAAAGAATTATTCTGCTTTAATAGGTTTTTTCCAACATATTTTATATGTTTTTTCAATTTAATTTTCAAATGGAGTGTACTATATTTTACATGTTTTTCAAATTAATTTTTATTGATTATATATAAATAACGTTCGAGTCATTTTCATATGAATTCGAACATGAAACCTATTAAATATGCAACAATGTGTAGACTACTCGGATGGATATCTCAAAAAAGATTATCGTATAAAATTTTAAGAAATTTTAAAGCATTCTCGATTGTATACATCGATTAATTTATTGAGAAATCATATTAGGGTTAACGATGTTGATCGTGTTTATAAGGGATATTTTCTTCGACTTTTTTATCTGTTAACGTTACTTAATGATAGATAATACCAATTTCACGCTCAAACTCAAATGTTTATACGGAGACGATAGCATTTGATGATGGCTTGACTGCTAACTCAAATAAATCTTTAGGTTAATAATTCTTCCCCGATGTAGAATTTTTTTAAAAAAAATCACAAATTTTTCTTGGCATCATTATGTACAAATCATAGGCAACTTTATTTAGTATTTGAATAATGGAAGAACCATACAATTTTTCCTGATAAAAAAAAATAATAATCCTGGTTAGAATAATCATCTTCGACTACATCCTGATTGCAATACTCCATTTTAGACCAACCAGCAGTAGCTTGTAAACATGTGAATGGTTGCACCACATTCATTGTTTGAGGTATAAAAGCATTCAAAATTAACCATTTTCACTCTATCAAACAAGTTCATGACTGCAATCATTGCATTGAAGCTCAGCAATCTGTAACCTTTATTAATTATTGGCATTTAAATTTACACATAACATTACAGCATCAAAGAACTATCAGACTGGTTTGAGAATGGAAGTTAGGACATGTATTTCAATCTTTTTTTCTTTTCAGAGAAAATAAAGAATAACATATGGGAAGGAGACATCCGAGACGATCTGAGATCAGCATTCTGTTGCTCAATGTTTTGAAAACATGCCTTCAGTTAATGATGAGAAATCAAAATCCCCAAGTGAACGGGTACTAGCAGTAGATCGGAAAGATGTATGGGGCTTATTTACTCCTCCACCAGCAGCAGTTGCCTCATTCACAGATGCAATGGACCCCTGAGCATGCAGACTGCAAAAATCAAAGTTTCGGTATCAGCAAATTGAAGAAGGCTCACCATTAGGTAAAATGATACGGTATACAAAATGAAGTTGTTTTTTTACGACCCAGGAGACCAAGATCATGGAGTCAACCTCTTTGTATCGATGAGAGTTCGTCTTTTTTGTTATATATAACACAAAGAGGAACACAGATAATTAAGACAAAAAAAGGAGAGATAATCGATCTTTTGTATAACAGTATCTAAGGTTATTTTATTAAACAGTTCAGTTTACAAAAAGTAATATTTCAGTTAAGAATTTACGGTCAAGATGCTCAGAAGCCTCACCAAAATATAAACCCCTCCCAAAATGATTGTTTCACTATCCCTGTCAATGTCTTCATACATAGCCTCATTTCCATCTGACTCATTCTTGATAATGCTGATAATAATTAAAAAGAAAAACTGAAAGAAAAGAGAGTAGGGAATAGTTGGGCACCACAATCCCTTCACGGTATAGAAAATGGAAACTTAAGAACAAAATAATTTTACCTCATGATCAATTACGTTTAAGGGGATTCAAATGTAAATATCAGTGTAAACAAGTACAACACGTGAATCACAAAGCCTTAGTTCAGTAAGCCACGCATGCAGACAATAAGAAACAAATCAAAGATATTGTAGATCTGGCATCAAGGCAAGGTGGTGAGAAAACGAATGAGGATTTATCGCGGTACTATTGCTTGATCATCTCTAGTATAAAGCCTCAGCTCAACATTTCTTATCAATTCATACAAGGCAAAAAGAGATTACTTATAACTAATCAATAGCTAAGGCCAAAGGATTACAATCACAGAAGAAAGCAAAGCATCCTATTGTTTTGTATTCTCAAATCAAACTTTTGATAGTCAGTCCTCCCTAACACCATTTAACTAAAGTGGCCAGTGTTCTCTTTTTTTGCATACTTAAATATTTACTTATTTAAATATATATATAATAGTAAACCAGCTTAGATACCTTTTTTCAATGTGAGATCACTACTTGTTAATATCTTGTCCTTACAGATCCACTTGATGTGCCAGGATCCATGTAATTGGTGCTGGCTAGTTGGAACGAAGACATCTTATTAATAATAAAATGTGAAGACTGAAGTGTTGAACCTCCTTTAGGGTTGCATTTCAACATCATAACAAACGTAGATTTAAAATTTGCTGGAAGAATTGCGTACCCAGATGCAGTGACAGGGCCATAGCTTCCAGATGGGTGGGGGCAAGTGAGACTTCCCATCTGCTATTGAAAACACAAGTAAACGAGTCAGATTTTTCGCATCTTAGGACAAAATACCGGCCCACTTAAGTTTGCTAAAGTTTCAGCACCTCTCTTGAGTTATTGGAATACAGCTGCGCAGCTAGTGGCACGTTCCCTGGAACCTGATGACTAAAGTTTGCCCAACTTTGTGCTGCAGTGTATCCTTGCATTGTGATTGAATCACTAACACTTCGTTGATGAGTTCCTCTAGTAAATACTGGAGGTGTATCGTCAAATTTGTCGGCAGCCATAGGAAAATCTTTCTGCTGGGAAAGGAACACCTGCTGTTGTTGATGAAGCCCAAATGGAGATACCATACTGGACTGTGAACCATCACACTGAACCAATTAAAGCAATTAAGCCATTTTCAAAAGAAATTGCAGATCAAATAACAATGATAGAAGAAGGTAAAATGACTAAAATCTCTTGCCAAAGGACACAATATATATAGTTGATATATAATTATACAGTAAAAATTATAAGGAAACATAGTGCACATCACAAATTTGAGCTATAACAGTTAAACAGTAGCATAAAAAGTTCAGAAAAGAAAAGCTAGAAAATGACTACATGGAACTCTGAAAAAGGACATGATACCAAAGAAGCTTTGTTTGAAAAAACTGTGTTTACCTTATCAAATGGGCACATGATACCATTTTTATTTGTCTGGTGTTTCTTTTGAGTTGAAGACTGTAACAGAGATGAATCCTTAAATAGGTCCTCAGCTCCTGTAATTGCATTCTTGCAATCAACAGATGCTGTGGTGTTCTTCTGTGAGGCACTGGTTAGTTCTTCAGCTGCAGATAGAGAACAATGAAGTGAGATCAACAAATTTATGATCAGCAAATGTGTTTTAGCTAAAAATGCAAGATTGGAGTAGATAACACAAGTACAGGAAAAGCACAAAAATGAATTAATTCTTTAAAATAGCATCTAATAAAGAGAACTTAATTAAATAGAATAATTACAAATGAATGGAGAAACTACAAGTCATGGGTTTCTTTTACATTTCTGATAACTACAGATTGATATAACTTACACTCAAATTTTACCCATGCATTAGTATCAAATGAAGATGATTCTGGCCCATTTTCGCATGGATCATCCACAGAAAGCATGTTCAAGAGATCACCGGTGCGTTCAACTTTTGATGGAGTGGTTGTTGTGGCAGTAACTCTAGCAGGAGCTACCTCTGGAGATACTACTTGTGTTCTCCCTGTTTCCAACTTTGACTCAGAGGGTACCTGTCAATTCATTAATCCAAGGCTGTTTAAGTAATGTAAACATAAGAAATTTTGTTAATTTATTATAGAACTAATTCTGAAAGGGGAAAAAAGGAACCAAAGTACAGCAAAGTAATGATTGTAGCGGAAATGATCAGTGAACAGAACAGAATCAAAAGCACCACCAATTTGTTTCTTGCATCTGAATCAAATTTAGCTTGCACAGGTATAGTGTAGAGGTATATACCACCATGTCTAACAATTTTTCTCTAACAAAAATTTCACTGAAGATTCAAGTTTAAAATGAAACAAGGTAAGATTGCAAAGTTCATCATCCAACAATACCAATCGTTGGTTGTAAAAAAAAATCTTTTTCATGATAACCAAAGGCAAGACCTGACAAAAGATCTTCAGAATCCATCCATAAGTTACACTATCCATTTCAAGAACTGAGAACTTCAATAAGAAAATCATTCTCATTATATTATGGACACCGACATGAACAATTACTAGGTTAAAATTGATGACCACATAGAAGCCAATGTTTACTACTGTTTATACTTTATAACACACTAATATTTTGTTAGATAACACTAATATCTTCACTTACGAAAGGAGGAACAAAAAAAAGGGCTGGTTATGCTCATATGGTTTCTCAGGATTAATCTACAAAGCACAGCCAATTCAAAAACAATGTAACAGTCATTCAGAACTTTCTCAATGTTTCAGAGCTCAGACAATCTTCAACATTCCAAATAATGAATATAAATATTGACATGAGAAAACAACACTGTCAATGTTTCAGACAACCTTCAGCATTCCAAACAATCAATATAAAGCTTGACATTAAAAATCTACAACAATAATCAGATTTAGACCCTATTAAAACAAAGGATGAAGTTACCCGGATGGGTACTTTAGGAATCACACGAGTATCTTTCCTTGTACTCTGCGGTGTATTATCCTTCTTGTCCAAAGATTTCACAAAGTTAATATTCTCTCTCCCTGTATCACTGGATTTTTGCTTATTTTCGGGATCCATTTCTTCTTGGGCCTTTGAAGGTGATTTAAATCTGTTATCCTGAGATGCCCACCTTTTTTCTTTGTATCTGGAAGGCAGAGTAGTTTTGTTAACAATTTATAGATGTGAATGAAAGATTAAATAGGAAGATGATAAGCTCAATACTTGGCACGAATAAAATTCTCAATCTCAACTCGGTCATAGTTTGGAGGCAGTTTGGCTTCCCAGTAGCTATTTGCCTTCTCATTTCCCATTGCTTTACATCCAGAACCCGACGAAGAATTAAAAAACTTGGATCAGTTTCATACAAAAGAGTCAGACGGCTCATTTTTCACAATCTTTGGCAGATATGATGACAGCAAAAATATAAATGAATGTAAAAAAGAGGCCAAGACACTCACTTTGAATAAAAGCAACCTGCTCTGGTAGCCAAGTGTCCAATGTTGCTGACCTTACCTGTATTAGAAGTAAGCTACTAATAACATACAGTTAAATTAAGCACAAACTCTGCATCTTCACATTCTCAAACATGTTTTTACTGATAAAATAAAATAAGCAAAGTTACCACAGTAGTTATAATATCGGTGTAACGCATTAACACTTGCTTGTGTTCAATGTAAAAGATTTGGAAAATCTATACACGAATGATATTCAAAAACTTGTCAATTTATACTCAACAATCAGATCAAATTGGACAGACAGGTCAGCTTAATATAAAACACTATGTCCGCTATATTCACCCCAGTGGCCTAGACTACAAGCAAAAGTCTTCCTGCAGAATATATTCCCAAAGTACCACTACACTTTAGTTTTGTTAACATCAAACAGGCACACATAGCAAGAAAGGGACGAAGAATGTCTACTCAAAAAGAGATATAGAGAGGGAGAGGGAGAGAGAGAGAGAGAGGGATGAAGAGTAAATTGAATACATGAACTAAAAAGAAAACAATGAAGAAGCATCCAGATATGAAAGAAATTGGACCTCACTATAAGTCTATGACCATGAAGTTTTATGACATTGGCATCTAAAAGTATTATAAAACCATCAATAACAATGAAAAGCAATCAAAGGCTTGTACTCTCGACCACAGAGATAAAAACTTCTAAATAATGTCAACTAGTTGACCAACTGTAGCTGAAAATCCAATCATGAAGAAATTGTCAGTTTATCTGATTCACTAAGTCTGGTACTTTCATGATGTCAGCTATAACAACAATAACAAAGTCGTAAGTTCTAACTATTTAGGATCGTCTACATGATAGACCAGTTACAAAGATAATAATTACTTACTGAATTAAAACTCTTCTCAGATAATATCTTATGCTAGGCTGTGATGCAAGTGGCAGAAATTTGAAACATCTTTATTTGTTAAAGCAGTTGTTGCAATAGAGAACAGATTACATGCTACAACTATGACAAATTTTAGTAAGTAAATATTAATTTTTAAATATGCATGCACATTAAATGATTTATTTTCAGAATGACTTGATTACAACAAACAAAAGGAAGAAAATGTCATTCAGAATAACTTGATTATATATATATATATATATATATATATATATATATATATATATATATATATATATATATATATATATATATATTGCCAGCCATGACATCACTATAGCAAGTTTTGCAGGTTATATTTCTGAAGAAAACCTCTTTCTTGAATTTTTACTGACTCTGAACAAGTATATGTCAATGTGAACAATGAATAAAAAAGTGTAGTGTCCCATAGAAAAAAAAAACTGACCTTTGATATATGTACCCCCAAGCTTCTATGGATTCCAGAACATTGCAGACATATAAAAATTCCCAGATTAACACTTGCCCATCGTGGACCTCTGCAAAAAGATGGTTAAACATTAGATTTGAAGGAAGATTGAACAATAACGAAAACAAAATTTAAATCTATTCTGGACCAGAACAATAAAGTAGGCTCTAACTCAAGAAATCCTATTACTAAATGTTGCCCCCATCTGGTAATGTTTATCCAGTCCAGCCTATCAGGAGATCTGCATGTTGCCTTTGGTTTATAAACAGAGGATTTGGGACCTCAAAATAAAGCAACATATTCTAGAATTATCCTTTTACAACTGGCCAGTAGCAAATTTTAAAAAGAAAAAAATCAAAGTATAAATTCTTTATACCCATTGCAGGATGATCTGTTTTAAGCTAAAATCAATAAGGGCATTCTTTATCCTCAAAAGCTCATAAGCACATTTATAAGGCAATAATGTATCCCAAAATTAGATAGAAGAAAATCCAGTGATGCATGCCTTAGATTCAAATTCATGATTCAGATTTTCTAATTAACTAATAAACTACATAAGCAAAGTAAGGTATGATTTCAAATGAATTTTCTTTTAGTTACATCTCAAAAGAAAATTACTGTTTGGTGAGGACATCTCCGGGAAGGCATGCAGGTGCAATATTAATTATGTAAATCAAGATTCTTGATATTGTTTTTACCAACAACCATCCAAGTTCAGTATTTTATATTCACTTAAAACAATTAGTTCAAAATTTTAACTAATTTTGGCATTATTCAGGTATATTCAAAACGTTTTAGAATGCAATACACTATCTAAAAGAGACAATTTACTAAGCCAATGACCAATCAGATAATTTTAGCACGAAAGATGCAAGAGCACGAAAAGAAATTATCCTTTCAACTTCCAAGATTTTGAATATTTGTACATAATGTTGCCATTGTAACATATATGCAAAGGTAGTTCACCCGTCAAAGCAAGAGTTGCCAACTTGGACTTTCAGCAATAGACATGAATTTTTCAATTGGTGAGACCCAAGGAAATGATAAGTTCACTTCATTTTATAGTAATAAATTAATTAATCACAAACCAAAACAAAATTATCAAAAGAACATAATATCAAAAGAACAAAATACAGTAAAGAAAGATAACCCAAAAGCTCCACAAAATCTTTCAGTTTTTCTTATAGTTTTGGCTTCTCAGATGGTTGCACAAAAAGCAATGTTGCACTAAATTGATGGAATTCAATCAAGCTAAAAAAAACAGTCTCAGCTTGAATGCTTACTTGGACTTGCAATCAGCACATTCCCTATTCTCTGACAATTTGAGAAGCCCCTCCAATACCTACAAGTACGTCTATCAGAACAAATGTGACACATAGAGAAACAAATTTAATAAGAATTTAACCTCAAAAATCTCTATATAGAAATCACAAGCTCAACTAAGTTGGAAAGTGAGCTAAACTTACTTGAGGTGAAGCAAGTGACCAATCGGTAAAAAAATACTACAATAGGCAAATAAAATCTCAAATCGGATAACTCAAAAGGTCAAGAATTCACTGCATATGAAGTAAGTAGATAGGATGAGAAAATGAAATCCAATAACATCTAAAAACAAGACAAATTTAATATAACAGAAATCAAAATTTGAATTGTGAAATGATAGATTCAGATACCAAATCATATCGTCAGGTAGGATGAAATAGCATATTCAACTTAGTAAAGAAAATATGTAAAGGGACGAGGGAGCTCGAAGACAGGGGAGGAGGGAAAGATAGATACAGTGTAATAAAAGAAAAGGTGCTTGTTCTGGATGAAAGAGAGCAAGCATATGAGGTCAACAAATATTTTGATTGTTTTGCTACCCTTGCACAACTTGCTTGAAACGTTGGTCTCTATGTGTTTTATACATATTAAGTTAAATTAGTCATCTTGCTTGTAAACATAGAAGAAATTAGGCCATAGATCTTACGCTAATTTTTTTGTATCAAGAACCTTACAACATGTGCTAACTATTTGAGGACAGCTACATGGACCTTTTCCACTATTGAACTCTGTGGAGGGAGAAAATCCTTAGTTAAATCATTAGCAACTAAATATTTTTTTATTTCTAATAAACTTTTCTTAGGTCTTCCTCTAGCTTCAGTTACATTACTAATCATCATTGAAACACAAATTGCAAGCTTCTCTCAAACATGTCCATATAATTTTACATGATTTTTACCCATTTCATCATTCATCACAGCCACACTCAAATCTTTTGACAAATACAAATATCTATTTATTCTCTCTTTGCTACAATGTCATACATCCATCTCAACCACACTAACATTTTGTGTATATTTTATTTAAATGACCACTTCTATTCATAAAGTATTAATAGTCTTACAACTGTCTTAAAATTTATTTAATTTAGATGTATGTGAGCACATGATACATTCGATTTTCCTTTCCATCTAACTATTCTTCTTTCATTTTATGTATAATGTCTTTACTGATCTATCCAATTTGGAGAATCTTAGATCCAAGATATTTAAACTTTTACGTGTAGGGAGATCTACTTCTCTTCATATCGATAAGATTGAACTTCATATACTTTATTCTAGTCAGCCTACAATCTTTAGTTTCTAATGTTAATGAATGTCGACAAGGCCTCTAAGGTGACAGTGGTTAAAGAGATGGAAAATTGCAAGTGTTTCATCTACTGATCCCCGTTTCCAATCGAGACGCAAATACTACCACAACGAGCTACAACCGAACCCTCGATCCCAGCACCATTGATGAAAATTCACACCATTCGCAATGGTTTCTTGCGGGCGATTGAAATATCTCCCACTAGCGTTAAATGCCCAAACAAACGAATCAAATTCGCCAAAAAGAGGCGAACCCAAATCAAACCAACAATCCGAATCGCATTCCAACAAAAACAACGATCACGAAAGATCGAAAACGTGGAGTCGTCATCTAATTTCCACGTTCCTCGTCTGCCGATTCACCGAAGAACAAACGCGAACCGGAAAATATCAAATCTTCAGTCGAAATGCCGAAGAGTAACGTTCAAAAGATCAAGAGATTTCGGGAAATCGAAGAAAAGTACGGACCTTTCCGTGTTTTTCATTGAGTTCTTTCGAGACGGACGCCTTTTCGTTCATCTTGACGCTCCCCAGTGGCCTCCCGAGACCTCCCGGGGTTCCGAGGAGGAGGAAGGAGGGCAAACAGAGCAAGAAGAACCAATGGATGGATCTCGTCTATGCTGTCTACTTATAGCATACCTATTTCATCGGAGGGATGAAGCAACGTACGTACTCCATTGGCCGACGCCGGAGGAAGAGAAGCTAATCCAAGCCCACACAGACTACCCGATCACCTACCCGGATAACGGTGATGGTAGTTCTGGCTCTACAGCGGGTCCCACAATGCTGATTCCAGTTACATCATAGATCGACAAGCGGGTAAACAAGGGAGTGCTCGGAGGAATGCGGGCCCCACGCCTGTTGAGGAAACGGTTTTTTCTATTTTACCTTGAAAAACCAAAAATGTTTTTACCGAATGACTTCGCTTGCTTTTTTTTTTTAATGTGGGGAAATTATTTTCCATCAATTTGATAAACACTTTCGTCCTCCATCAGTCATTTCTGACTGTAGTCATCAACGCCGTCCGTCATCTCCTTCCGCTTCCTCTCTTTTCTCTTTTCTCCTCCTCCTCCTCCCCCTCGTTTCTCTCTCCTCCTCTTCCTCATCACCTCTATCCTACGTCTGTTGTTGGCTCCCTCACCGACCACCTCCAACGAGGGCTTTGAGTGAGGTCAAAGGGCTCCAATCTTCAATTATGAGAGGAAGAGGGAGTGATAAAGGACGACGTGGGCAAGGAGCTCCTCGTCTTTGATCGCGAGGAAGGAGGATAAGGCTGTTGCCGGTGGGTAGTGGAGGAGGAAGTGACGTGCTGTAACGCTCGTGGTGGAAGCAAAGGCTGACGGCGACAACGATCGAGCCGACCGGTGAGATTGATGAAAAAGAGGCACCCAAGTTAAAAATCAATTATGAGGACAATCATTGATAAATGTCTAATAATAATAAAATTTTAAAGGTAAAATACAGTCTCTTTTTTTTTCACATATTAAGTTTTTTTATAAAAAAAATTATGGGCATATTGAGAATTTTTTTATAAAGTGTTTAATTTTTTTTAAAAAAATTAAATAGTATCTCTTGTCACATGAAATGAGTATTTTATCTTTGTTTTCGTCGAAACTATCATCGTCTCTGTCACATCCCTTGCACCCTCATCGAACCTAGGGGGCATCATGCATATAGAGACACATACGGTCATAGGAGAAAAGGGGGGGTGTGATTAGCCAGGCTAATCCACGCACAGAGGTGTAAATGGCCATAGGAGAGGAGCATGCGATTTGACAGGATCTACTTATGTGCAAAGACATAAACAACCAAGAGAAAAAAAGGGATGACCAATGGGGCTTACTTGTGCACGCTGAAGGAGTTGTCAATGAGGCTAGCTCGCACATGGAGGTGCAGATAGCCAACATGACCAAATCCCTATGTGCACGTAGGGGAGGGATTGACGGAGTCAGCTTGCATGCAAAAGCATAAGCAACTAAGATCGTCGACATGACAAAGGGGGGCGATCGACAATAGTCGATAGATGTAGGATAAATTTTTTTTATGCTATCGTGAGAATATTTATCACTTATTGGTCTTTCTTACGTTTGGACAGATAACAAATAACAGGTTTTGTTAGGAAAATTATTGTTAAGCTTAGACATGCTAATCCAAGATTATCTTGGAGTTTTCATGTATTAATCTCCATAGAATGCTGCTCGTTGACATTTACTTTCCAGGACCAGATTTGTCCACTTAATTCATATCAGCTCTTTCCAACATGAGTTGAGTGTCCTTTGAATGGTTTTTTTTGCTTTTTTTTGTTTTGTTTTTTATCTAGAAAAACAAATCAAACGATCTTAGTTTAATTTTAACGTGTGTGATTCCTGCTCTTTCTTGAGATCACCTCCAACTCCGTCATATCAAGGTCAACGATATGACTTTACTCCATGTTCTTAAGATTGATTTCTTGTCTCTGTCATCGCAATTTATTGATTCAGACATCAACACTGCGCACTTGGAAGACTACCAATCTTTGTGACTTGACCTTTGCCTTCGTAGGTCATCAGTCAATCTTGATGCCAAGAACTCAAGAAGCTGTAGTTTGCGTTTGATGCAATCAACAGGAAAGCCGTCCGAGATTTGTATTTCTGCACACAGTTCATAGGAAAAGTCGTTTGGATTGTGATGAACAGGTCCTTGACAAAGCTGCTGACACCTTCTCTGATCCCAAACATGATGTCATCACAGACAGATGCATGCACTTGAAGAAGATAAAGAAAAAAGAGAAGGTCTCTTCCTCTTTCTCTCAATGATATGGCTGGCAGGCTGCCATGGGGCCAACGTTACACTGTTCGGCTCCCGTGAAGTCCTCATTCCAGGTAGCTATAATTAAGCGTTCCACCTGGAAGTCACTACATGCGTTCGGTGGCACTGCGCGGGGTGCCAAGTTTTTGGGGCCAACCTTCCGAGGAACTCTTGACCTCATTAGGTGAACGGCTGTTTCATCTATACTAGGATCAGTTTATAATAGTATTAGTCTGCATGGCTGAAGTGCATAGTTAGTGACGACTTTTATTCTGATTTCAGAGTGCACGGCTGCTTAATGACGAGTGGTCCAAGTTTAAAGGCACGCACACTGAATCGGGACAGCCTCACCTCGGCTGCTTGACTGCAGGTAGTACAAAGAGTTCATGGTCGTATTAAAAGCTCCATGGCTTGGATAGATAAGACGTCAGGTCAAGTTACAGTCAGTGCGAAGTGACAGCCGCCCACGGCAGTGGCAGCTGCTCCCGAGGAGATAAAGCCGACTTAACATAGTAGATCGAACACGTGATCCTTGTGCGTGTTCTTGAGACGTTTCGTGCAAGATGAAGGTAAGTCGGTTTGGGGGAGAAAGCCTCCTCTATATAGAGAGCCTCTCACCTCCGATTGCTTTCCATCTTACGCCACTGGAAGCTCAGTTCATTCCAGGCTCAACTCACTTGACCACAGATAGTGTGCAGGGAGAAAAGGGTAGAAGAAGAATGGAAGGGGGAAGGAAAGTGGTGCTAAGTGGAGAGAGGAAGTACAGTAGCCGCCGCTTGATCCCCAGACGGGGGCAGGTGAAGGCCTCCATCGTCATCGGCCTCGCTCAGTCTCTGGCTGCCTTGTTCTCTCTCGCCGTCGCCCGTCTCGCTTAGATCACGGCTACTGCTTCCTGATGATCTATATATAGATATATATCTACATATATGAGGGTGGAAAACCTTGGCTCTTCTCTTTGTAGTCAGCTCGCTAAACCCTGTTTTTCGTTGGGGTTTGATGTAAACATTGTGAACACAGTGAGAATGAAGTTTTTCGTATCATCTTTTTGCATCCATTACTGCTCTCCCTTTCGTTAATTATTGTGAAAGCTGAGAAGTTGTGCGTCGGCATGAACATTTAGGTGTTCATCGTTGCTCATCTTCTTGTTCTGAGCTGCCTCTGCTGGTGTTAGTCCCCAATCTGACAGACTAATTTTTCTTGACCAATTTTTTCTGCTATCTCATGAGGCGAGGAGATGAGAGTAGCTTAAGATCTCGGGAATAGATTTGGTAGTCTAGCTTAATAGTTATGGCGATTTAATTGACTGACTCAAAAAGTCTATCCGAGCTTAGTCTTTGTTGCAAGTCATAATGGTTATCTTTCTCGATCAGAATCGTATTCAATTGATTTAGGTATAAATCGATTTTTGTTCTTTCCGTAACAACAAAGAATTGACATTAAGAAGAAGTTTATATTTTTGTAATGCAAGCTGTGAGACAAGAAGATCTACTTTTAAGATTGCCATCCTTTACCACAACAAAAAGCACAAAGATTAGTGACTTTTTAGTCACTAATCAATCATACATCGTCTAAAGCAAAGTGGGTGGAAGTCACTGAGAAGATGCCTCCGCCGACATGATAATAAATTGTGGATTTTTTTTTTAATGATAGAAGAATTAACAAAAGTAAAAAAAAATAACTATTTATTTATTTATTTATTTATTTATTTATCACATGACACATGTAATCTGCTGTAGTATCTTCACATAATAGCATATAAGTAAGTCAGGGCATATTATTTATTCATTATAATTTTCATTCTCCAATGAAAATAATTTTGATTTAATTTATTAAATAAAAAATCCTTCTCTTCTTTAAGTGTCCATCTTTATCATTCTCATACTCTCTACTCTCTTTATCATCCAAAAATCTATTTTTAATTAATCTTTTATCAACTTCTTTTCTTTCTGTTAGGTAGTTGTTCTTTTTTATTCTATTTATAATTGAGTTACATTCATTCATAAAAAAATATTTAAAAATATTATTTTTATATAAAAAATATCTTAAAATTATCATAAAATTAAAAACTCAAGATATATTTAAAAATATATTATTTTTTATATAAAATTATTTTAAAAATCATTATACTTGAGTTACACTCATTTATAGGATATTAAAAAAATTAGTTTTTATATAAAATTATCCTAGATTCATCAAAAAAAAAAAACTCAAGTTATCCTAAAAAATATTATTTTTATATAAAATTATCATAAATATAAGGGTCTGACCGACCGAACTTGATATGGAAGAATTCGACCTGAATCGATATAACTTAGATCAAATCAATTTGAGGATGTTTTAAAAAAATTAAAATAAAATACTCCTTTTTTATAATATAAATTACCCTACAATTTATTGTTTAAATATGTATTTATAAACTTGCAGTCTAATTATTTGAACCACTGAATCAACTAACGAATCAGTGACAAGAACCACTGATTCAACATCCGATCTCCAGATTCTGTCTTACGGTCAAAAGTCTTAATAATAATAATAACAAAAAAGATCGTTGATGAATCATCATCGTCTTAATCTTGATTAGAAGAACACACACACTGCACTTTAGTCAGCATGGGAGTCGACCGAGTTAGTTTTAAAACACATAATATATATATTTTTATTTATAATATCGAGTGTATCTTATCCATTCAAATCGGATTATTATTTCCATTATTCAATAGTACTATGATCGGAACACAGTAGTATGAATAATGTATCCACTTGTGGATCCGAACATTAAATGTTCAAAATATCATTTTGAAATTAATTAATTAATTAATTAATTAATATCTATTTATTATTCTTTTTCTAATTGACGGAAAAAAAATCATATATATATATATAAATTAAAATTAAAAATATATTCGGATTCCTCAAAATATGGAATATAAAGTCCCATTTCTTATTCCAACGATAAGGCGAAAACAAAACAGTCGTGTAGCAGTCGGAACAGCAGCGGCCGCCGAAGAAAAGGCGACCATTACCCTTCCAACCAATTCCTTCCGTGGCATTCAATTCTCTCTCGAAGAAGAAGAGGAAAAGGAAAGGGGTAGGAAGGAGAAGCAGACGTCATGGCCAGACTTTGTCCCATTTATACCTCGCACGCCATCCCCCTCACGACGGACGGCCAAAACTCCTCCCGGAGCCTGAGCCTCTTGACGGCCAAGCCCGCCCCGTCCGCCCGCGTCGGCGGTGCCCTCCGCTGCCTCTTCGGCCCCTCATCATCGGCCGACCGCGGCCTCGGCCTCGGCCTCTCGCAAGAGGATCCTTCCTCGTTGTCGGAGTTCTCGATGCAGACGGCTCGTCTGCTTGGGCTCCCCCGGGTGGACGAGGGCGACCGCTCGAGGGAGCTCGATGTGGCGGTGAGGGTGGTCCAGATGGCGTGCTCCTTGTGCCAGCGGGTGCAGAGCGGCCTGGTGGGGCGGCACCGGGAGCAGATCACCTCTAAGGATGACGATTCCCCGGTCACCGTCGCAGGTTCGTTCTATATCCTTTGTTTCTTCTTACGATTGTTAGGTCTACGTGGTTAATGCCTATGTATCCAGTTCCTTGAAATCGAGGGTGCTTGTTCCCGATATCATGTCACGTATTATTGGCCTGCCTCATCTTTTGCATTTGATGGCAACCGTAGCGAACGAAAACAATACAACTTGTGATACAAGTAGTGCATTTTGCTTGATATCTCTTATGTGCACTGTTTAAATCATAATCAGAAAAATTATTCAATAATTTTATATTTTATCACATCAAATGTAACCTTCATATTCTCTATGCATTAATTTTTCATGACCTGTGTGTTTAAATACCATTTTGTTAATGAGTTGTTAGTGGTGTACAAAAGATTATGCCTACTTTCTCTTTTGCTGGTTTTAAAATTCAATTCTCACTTTCAGAATATGGCAAACCAGAATATAACAAGGATCGAGGAACACCAATTTGTTACTAGAGGGAATGCACATTTTTATCTTGTTTTAACTGTTACTGTTGTCATAGCCTTTAAGGGGTATTTGCAATCAATTTCTTTGTTTGTCATGGCAGGGTTGGCTCTATCGTTCCAAGTTCTCTTTTATTTGGAACATTTTCGTGGGAGCTTCCCTTCCAGGCATATTACCACCTGGTAGAGTAAGGAAGCCTGGATTCGAATATTCAGTATCCAAAGTTACCTACCTGAATGGTTAGAAATAGTCTATAAATTCAGAACCTGATTTCTAGTTCACCCTCTCCTCGAGCAAGGAAATCTTTGGTTTTTCTCTCAACAATAAAATTTTACAACTTAAGTTACTATATGTAGCTGGAAATAACGGAATTGTCTCTCCAATCCACTTAAAAATAGAACACTTCTCTTGGGGGGCATAATGCTTTCGTGTATCAAAGTATTTGAAGCTTTGAATTGTCAGTTTTTCTCTCAACAATAAAATTTTACAATTTAAGTTAATATATGTAGCTGGAAATAATGGAAGTATCTCTCCAATCCACTTAAAAAGACAACACTTCTCTTGGGGACATAATGCTTTCGTGTATCAAAGTATTTGAAGCTTTGGATTGTCAGTTTCAAAGCTGAATAAGAAATAAATTATTATCTCCTTACATGCTTGCACTAAGCATGGCCATTCAATTTCCATATATCAAGAATATGCTATTTATCATAGCTGTCCATAGCATTAACACTATCCAACTCCTATAAGCTGATTCAACAGTGCTGAATGAAGTTTGCATGTCATCCATGAAAACCTACAGGTTACTCCAAATGAGGGAAGTCAGAAGGCCTTGGTATCTTAATATCATGTGTTGCTGAGTCGGGCTAGAAGTTTTTCTGAAGGAACCAAGTGATTTCTCGTCCTTGTTTAATGCTGGATGGAGGGACTGTGGTGGAAGAGGGATGCCAGCTAGTCATTTAGAGTTGTTCAGTGATTTATTGGAAATCCAATGTTGCACTTCCATAGGAAAAAATTCTGTTTGCCTTCTGGATTTGCTTTATCAATTTGATAGTAATGCTGCAGACAGTATGTTATCACTATAATGAGGTAGGTTTTTCTCAGTCATTTCAGATTGTATGTCACACGAGTCACAGAAACATGAACCACATGAATCTTCAAATTTCATGTGATGATGTCTCTAATGGATGATGAATCTTTGAAATTTATGTGAATTTCAAGTCTAAGCCACAAAGATATGGTCACTATTACTGAACAACAGGATCTTTACTACTTCCTGTAAGTTAAACAAATAATGATATTTTTTTTTCAAAATTTGATTTTTTTTTGGTTATTTTGTTACAGATAGCAAGCAATTTTACAATGTTGTTTGTATCCAGATTTAAGGATAAATAAATTCCTCTATCCTTTAACTTTTTAGATATTGTAAATATGAGTTCTAAAATTATGCATTTTTTAGCTATTATATTTATAATGAGACAGTGTTTGAATTTGTTATTTAGTCTTGGAAATTTCCAGCATATCAGCCTTTTCTTGAAACTGGCTAATTTGTATGTCTGTTTAATGTACGCTAGTATATCTCGCTTCTCATTAGCTTTATGGTTTAATTTTGTGGATAGATTGGGGTGTTCAAGCTGTTGTTAGTTGGCTCCTTTCAGAATGCTTTGGCAATGAAAATGCATCAATTGTTGCTGAGGAAGATGCTTATACTCTTTCCAGAAAAGATGCCACAACCTTGCTGGAATCTGTGATAGGTGTTGTGAATGAATGCTTGTCTGAAGCTCCAAAGTATGGATTGGAAGGTCCTTCTAAACCTTTGGGTGCTCAGGAAATTCTTGATGCTATTCACAACTGTAACTCTAGCGGAGGTTCCAAGGGAAAATTTTGGGTCCTTGATCCTGTGGATGGTACTCTTGGTTTTGTACGTGGAGACCAGTATGCTATTGCGCTTGCTTTGATAGTGGATGGAGAAGTTGTCCTCGGTGTTCTAGGTTGCCCTAACTACCCGATGAGGAAGGAATGGCTCAACTATCATCAGCGCTACTACAGGCTCATGACCATGTTATCTCCTCCTGCACATGGATCCTGGCATAAAGGCTGTGTAATGTATGCTCGTAAAGGTAGTGGTGTAGCTTGGATGCAACCACTGGTTCATGACTTTGCCGAGTTTGATTGGCAGAGTTCTTCAAGGATCATTCGGGTATCATCCATTACTGATCCTGCTTTTGCAACTTTTTGTGAACCTGTTGAGAAAGCAAACTCAAGCCACTCCTTTACGGCTGGATTAGCTCACAGTGTTGGTTTAAGGTAAGTTCAAGGAAGTAATTGCATTTTACTCAATCATGCAGATTTTTGTAGTTTCTACCACATTTTTCATCTAAGCTCTATATTTTTGGCTTTGCAACCTGGCCTTCTTTTGTACCCATTATGCAAATTGATATTTCTCTCCAAAGAATTCTTTCAACACGTTTTACAAATGGTTGGATGGTCTTACCCTTTTACAGGCACCTCAAAAGAAACTCATGCTATTAATTGCTCCTTTATCAAAGACTACTACTGAATTTGCCCTCAGCTATTATTTTTGGTTTTGTTTCTTTAGATGTATAAAGCAGCCAATTCAGTTGTCATATTTAGTTTTGCTTCTTCACATGTAGAAAGCAACCACTGCGAGTGTATAGTATGGTAAAATATGCTGCCATAGCTCGAGGGGATGCAGAGATCTTTATGAAGTTTGCCAGAGCCGGGTATAAGGAAAAGATATGGGACCATGCTGCAGGGTTGGTGATCATACAAGAAGCAGGTGGAGTGGTCACAGATGCCAGAGGATGTCCATTGGACTTCTCCAAGGGCTTATATCTTGAAGGTCTAGATCGTGGCATAATTGCTTGCTCTGGGCCGTTGCTGCATGAGAAGATAATAAAAGCCGTTGATGCCAGCTGGGACTCATCAAATTTATAAGAATTACTTGTGTAGTTTCTTTCCTATATGGAGTAATTATGCTGTTCCAGCACGGTAAGTATGACGAAGATCTTCAAGAACTTTTGATGCCCATTTAAACAATTATTTCTGACCGAAATTTCCTTTCCTTGGACAGTTGCAGGGCTTTTCAAGTGTTTGATAATAATGTGACGACACCATGTCTCTTTTGACCCAAGCTCAGATGGTGCTGTCCCAATCTTGATCGTGACGGTACCAAATAAGTTCCGAATTGGTTAGCTTCCAATTCGGAACATTTCAGGCAAAGGAAGAAAGGAAATTCCTCTGGGATGGGGGAAATTTGCCTCTCATTTTGGATATCTCAACCTTATAAAATATATTCGGCAAAATATACCACACGACAGTTCAATCTTACTTTGAATACTTGTGTCTTGGTTAGAGTTGGTTTAATCGAAGTTCTGGATCCATGCATCAGTATCAGAAAGCCAGAAACTACCAGTTGTGCACACTTGTACCTCACCCCCGGTGAAAGTAAAACGGAGGTGAGTTCTGTTGCCTGTCTCATTTCAAGATCGAATAAAAATGTTTCATATTATAGATTTTTGCTGTGCGTTCTGTCGCGCACATCATCTTGAGTTTCTGTTGATGAATGTTTTAGAGTTCTTTTGTTGCGGCTTCCTCCGATACCTTGGTTTGGCACTGGTTTAAATTGAATCATATTTCTCCAATCATTCGATTGAGGTGTGGATGAGCAACATGATCTGTGAATAATGGTACCAGTTAGCCAGGAGGCTTTGAGAGCACCTTCTTGTTCTACCAGTTATCCTACTGAGCGGAGAATGTATGGTGAGGGAAACGAGAGATTCAGGTATTCTCGTCTCTTTACCTGCTTAAAACCATTTGGTGTGTTTCTAATAATGTGTGCAGAAGCTTTTTAGTCGTGTTATCGGTAAGCAGTCGACGAAGTTACAAATCAGGGTAACATCTTTTGCATATATCAGCGGCGGTTACCATATTTTTCTTGTCATCGTCTTAGTACTACGCAGATCTCACGCATATTCCACGCGAGATTTGATTGAGAGAAATAAAGAAAGAAGAGATAACACAGTCGTAATTTCAATGATGACCTTGATGATGGAGGCAATGACAACAACCTCAACAATAATGATCGAGGAATATCAACCCTAACAACAGCTTAAAAGCACAAGAAACAAGGATAACCTAACAACTTTGAGAGATTCGTAACATATTAATTTGGATTTAGGCACCAATAAAGTTCATGATGAGTATTATCAATCATGCCAAAGTTGATGTTTAATCATCAACATGGTCTACAATCTAATATAGACAACTGGCATATATATAAAGATGAGTCAATTGAAAGAAGGAGAAGAAATCTAATACAAACAACAGGCGTATAAACACAAGTCTGATTTTTAAATTTTTTTTTATGAGTATTCTTATAAGATTAGAATCCTTCTTAGTAGTAATTTTTTAATCAAACACAAGGTGAAGGAGATTGAAAAGAATGGACAGAGAAGGTCGCGAAGATGATGGCAACGACAGAGAGAAAAGACAGATGAAAAAAAGGGAAAATAAAAAAAAGTATTATAGTGTCACACGCGATGGCAGTCATAAAAAAACGGACGATAAATGTGATGCACCGATCTGCTTACCGCGATTTTTTGATTTGCTTCCCGCCAGATAAGTTTTGTACAAATGAACCTATCAAACAGTACGATCCCATTAACATTTAACAAATGACATGCAACAAAGTCACAATAATAACAGAAGAACATTAATCCAAGGCCGAGAGTGGCCATTTGCCCCAGCGCCAAGAAACCTCTATGCAATTACTGAGACAACATCAGTGGACACCATATATTAGCTGCTAGTGACGACTCGATAGGAGGGGAGGAAGTGGCACTCCAGCTTAAAACCCATGCAACTCTATTTGTTTGTCATGTTGAATGAACCGACATCATCGCTTCCAAAATGATACCATTTGTACTCGTAATTACCATTTCAAATAACACGGGCAAGGTCTTGGACAACCTCAGACATCGGTGGCCGGAACTCTGACCCTTGCTGCAAAACACAAAGAACAAATGTTGAGACATCAATAAACTCAATTGTTTTGCACACAAACAAACAAACACAAATAAGAACCAAGTTTCTCATGTAAACAACAGTTATTATCCTTAGTTCACGGATTTTAATTGTCAGTTAGTTAATCCATGCATTTGATTCCCTTGTCACACTTCCTCGAGGATAAATCTCATAAGTGAAGGGATTCATCAAGGGTAAATTTTCGATAAATTTCAATCTCGATACCCGATTTAACTAACCTAACATTTCCTCTTTAATAAACTACTAAATGCTTTTGAAAAAAAATACTACCGACTACCTAGTTGTTATGTTTGTCTTTTTCTAGTTGAGTCTTGGGTAAATTATCTCCCTTCTTTAAGCAAAGAAATAACTGGTATCCTATCAGGTGACCTATGATGTAAGATTGATCTTTTTTTCTCTCTCATATATGAGAAAACATCTACATCAAGCAACCCATGCTGAGAAATAGGAATAATGTAATGATATGATCCGAGAATCTGTATGCCAACTTCAACGTGAATACACACAGAAATCTTTACCTGTATACAACGACTAATAATGTCAGCGAATCTGGAGAGTGATTTTACATGTAACTGCCGATCAACACAAGGATCCATCATTCTTATCAATGCATCGATGTCATGAAGCTGTGAACTAGCCCACCGCACAAGATGTTGCTCTGCCCAAGGAAGTGAGCTGCACCCAAAAGAAAATTCAAGACTCGTGGTCTTCCTACAACTTGACAACAGCAACACAATTTCTATAAAACGATGGTAATTAACTCACAAGCATACCTGTCAAAGGGCTTATGCCCAGTAAGGAGTTCTAACATGACAATTCCAAAGCTGTAAACATCACTCTTCTCACTATAAGACCCAGAGTCACTGACTTCTGGAGCATCATAACTGAAAAAAGGTCTCATGCCTGACAACTGAAAGAAAACCAAACATTACTTCCATACCATATCAAACTCAATCAATTGCATTTTGTTCTCAAGGAAAAGCAAAAAAATTCAAAGGTAGCATTTTCTCTATATCTTTAGGGTTGTCAGGCACCTATAGAAAATTCTGAACTTCTTCGCAGGACATCAAGGATATTACTCAACCAGTAAACTAGCCGTTGCAGCTACTTTACTCTCTGCTTTTTTTATCTGAATTCATAGATTGAGTCATTCACTAAACAACTATTTTGTTGGGCGATCAACCAGGTGCTCCTACCCAACCGGACTAATGAATGCCAACAGGAAGAAGTCACTTTCCTTAAGTTCAGTAGGAGATCCCTTCTTGTGGCTTTCAAATGATTACCTGTTGCTAATAGGGGGAGATCTCCCATTAGGGTTTGATGCTACTCAATGGGGATCACCAGAAATAATAGCTTGCTTTTGGAACCTCCGATCTATTAAACAGTTATTAAATGTGGCTCAAGAATATGTACCAGATGACGAGCTAGTTTCAAAGGAAACCTACTTAATGACCTAATTGTGCTCCTGCCATAAAAGATGAGATTCTTCATATTTAGTTATGCAAAACTGTAATGTAAAAATGAAATGGCACCCAAGATGTCATATACAACTTTTCTTACCTGAGTTACAAAACTTGATGGTAGTAGTGAAGTCAGGCCACATTCAGAAACCCGAACAGATAGATCATCATCGATGAGAATGTTGCTTGACTCAAATCTTTGATGCACTATAGGTGGTCGACAACCCTCGTGTAGATACCTTGAGCATAAAGTCAAAGATGTCTTCATGTCGAGACATTTACTTTGATCAAGCTAAATAGAGAGTAGAATCAACTTACTCTAGAGCTTTTGCAGCTTCAAGGGCTATCTGGATACGGGCATTCCATGATAACTTTTTTTTGACGCCAACATCATCACTGTGGAGTACATCAAATAGGGTTTTGCTGCTGAAATATTTATAAACGAGTAATCGTTGGCCAAAGTCCATACAGTAACCAACAAGCTCAACAATATTCGGATGTTGAATCTCTGAGATGATCTTAACCAACTTCAAAAATTCATCGCCAGGAAGATCTGAATTTTTATTGTCAAGCTTCACTACTTCCAATAGCTGTACATCAGAAAACTAGTTAGATGTATGTCATAACATGACAATTATATCATCTACACATTGTACATGCATATTCTGATGAAGAAAGCTTTAAGAAGATTTTCCTTATAACTCCAACACTAGAACAAGCACATTCCAGTTTTCAATAAGAGGAATATAATTTGTCAAAAAGAGATGATAGTTAGATCCAAATAAGAGAAGAAAAAAAAATTCATTGCAAACAAAATTATAGTATGAACAGTGAATAATAGCACAAAATAAGGTTGAAACATGTTTAAACCAAAAACTATATGAGAAAAACCTTATCCCGGATCCTTCAAAGAGTTAGGTCAAAGAGAAGCATGGAATATCCAGCCAAAAAAGAACTTGATATTCCAAATATACAGAAATTATAAGAGAATGAACAGGTAAAAGCATTCAGAAAGTTTTAGTTTGTAATCACTAAGGAGAAATGGTTTGTGCATACTGCATTGTCACAGCAAGATAATCCCTTCATTCTCCTTATGTTGTTTAAGATTTCTGGTTGAGATCATGTGAATCAAAATACTTAAGCCCAAGTTGTTAGTTAGTAATAGACATGTCTATCATTATATATATCATCTTAATTGTCCTCCAATGTGGGACTATTTGGAGTACCATGATCTTCGACCTAAAGTTTAATATCCTCAAGAGGAATCAAAACCAATGCATACTCAAGAATCATGCCCTAATGGTGGCATAAGAGACCCAACCGATTACTGGCTCCACATCATAATGCACTTTAAGAATCATCTATAGATAGTTCCTTCCTATTTCAACATCTCATACAACACCTAACTATAGACCAATCCACCAGTACCATGACCCTATGAAAAAATCGACTCATTAACTTGATAAACCCAAAATTATATGACTCAAAATTCTTAAACCCATGATAATGGTAGTAGAGGCTTCTCTAGTAGGACTATCTGGGGCTTCAATTTTATAGATAATTTAATATCATATATAAACATAATGAGCTAATTTAAAGAATTTTCTTAAATACCAAATTTGTATCTCACCAGAATAGAAATAAAATGCAGCTTGGAAGCATCAGATAACAGTTTATTGCTAATTAAAGCATAATTAATCCAATTACATAGAGAATGAACTAAAACTAGAACAATATTGATTTAGGAATAAAATTGATCAAAAATTAATTGTTGAAGATTTTTTACATCCGAAAAAATCGTACGATGTATAACAACAAATTCAACATTCAAATAGTTACAAACCACAATATCATTAAAGATATATGACATGTGTTTACCATCACAAAAAATAAGATAAGATGAGAAAATCCGATCATTTTAGGGTACAATAAAGCTGTCATTATCAATAGTAGGGAATTGAAAAAAGGTACGATTTTTTATGTTCAAAACACCAATACACTGAATAGCCCTAGAACTTAACAGAATCAATGGAGCAAAAAAATGATGATAACAATAATAATAATGAAGATTACAGGGCACACCTAACGAACTTTTTTGTGGTGCATTTACTATGCAGCATATTCTGAGATTCAAATTGAAGCAGGGGAACTGAATTAATCTTTTGATGAAGTGCAATTAAAAAACTAACATCGGCATCTTTTTAAGTCTGGTAAACACCTTCAATAATCATATGAAGTGATCTAGATTTGCCGTCAAAAAGTGCAAGTCAGCATGAGGCTAAAAGAATATACCTTCCCCTGTGGGAATTCTGCTAGATATACTGGGCCAAGAGTGCCATCTTGGATCAAGTTCTCTTCACTAAAACTATTTGTGTGTAGTTGAAGTGAAGCAACAGAAAAAGGTGTCGCAGAAGTTGGAGGATTCAGAATTTCAGCTGGATCTCTTAGGATCTTTTTACCTGTAACAACGGGGTTCACAGTGTCTTTTTCAATCAATAGTGGCATCGGATGTGCTGTAGTCCTTTGAATATTAAAATTATATTCCTGCCTTTGAGTTGACTCTCCAAGAACTGCCGACAGGAGTAACAAAGTAATTATAGAGCATGAATATAAGAGCCAATGCGTGAAACATACTTCAACATGGAACGATAATCTTTACCTTCATCACCTTTATGAGGTTTGATAAAGTCAATACTTATATGAGGCTCCTCTGGTCTTTCATCTTTCCTGACATCCTGGCCTCTGTGGAATCCTTCATCCTTCAGTTTCTTTTGTTGCCACTTTGATACATTAAGTATTACCATTAATGTTACAATGGCTAGTAGAATCACACCAGGACATACATATTCAACAGCTTTTATTATTGAAATTTTGTTATTTTCAGAAGGTAGGCCACCATTTTGAGTAGGACCCTTGAAAGAGTTGGCAGGCGCAGGAGCATGAGAAAAAGGAAATGTTGTAGGAGGGGGTGGCAGCGGTGAAGGAGCAATGCTGGCATTGAATGGGTTGCCTCCCTTCCTGCAGTGAGGAACTGAGTTAAGCATTTGTTAACACAAAACTACCAACTCTCAGGCACAAGAAAATGAAATTCAGGTGATAAAAGAATTGGTGAAATAATAGATAAAAACCATGGAAAAAGCAACAGAGGCATTTGCACCTTTGCTTCCCTACAAAAGATAATATTCATTTAGCAAGTAAAGGTAGGTCATCATTATGATGCACTTACTTGAAATTAGGAATATTAAGAAGCTTTGCTGGGATTGGTCCTGAGAACATATTATTTTCTACATTCCTGTCAAAGATGAAAGTAAGAGAGGTTTATAGGAGATACTGACACAACAGTAACTTTCATTTGCATTATTATCTACAGTTCATGGAAGACTTAGGCTTTTAAAAAAACATCATGAAGGATATTCAAGCTGTGAGCACAAGGACACTGAAAGTGTAGAGGGAATTAGGCATTATGCCTTTTGACAAAGCTTTACACATCAAGTTCTAAACTTCCTAAGATTATAATAGTCAAATAAATGACACAAACCTTGAGTTCTTTGACCAATTTAACATAAGAAAAATGCCTGCAGTCTGTGATCACCATTCTTGGGACAGTATAGGCAAAGCCAAATGTTACTTACCCATTATGGAAATGATGTGCTTCTTTTACTGTTATGATACCCTTCAATTAATCAAATGTATAGCATGACAAGGGTTCTTTATTCGATTCAATATATAATGATTTCACCTATAACACCAGTTAGCAGCCACAGAAATAGCCTCTCTACTTCTAAGGTTAAGGCTTCTTATGTCAACCCTCCCTAAAGCCTGCGTTGGTGAGAGACTCATGTACTAGGTCCAATAACTAGTTAGTGGCCACAATCAAATCCACACTGTTTTTCATCATTATCTAAATCTTTTACAATCAAGTGGGGACTGGATAAAACAGGTAAAAAGAAAAAAAAGAATACTAGACAAAGTTTATGGCCAGTAACTTCACTATTCCTAAGAAATCAAATCTTGTTAGTAAAGAGAATTTCTAGAAAATCCAAAAGGCTAGTGGACGATAGCTTTATATTTTCGACTGAAGTTATCAAAAAAGCAAGCCCTTCTGCAATTACCATAGGTTCAATAAGAATAGACAAGTATCATTCTCAACTAAATTTTGTTCCAGCAAAAAGGGTAAGTGCACAGCTACAGTGACAAACAATGATTTAACAACTCGGATCCAATTCTTCATAACCTGTTAATATCTACCTAGGTTTTATTGCATACAAAACCAATATAATTTCTTTACTATCTTAACTTGACTATTTATCTGCAATGTACTTTCTCTGTTTTAATTCACATATGACAGAAAATAAAAGAGAGGTGCAGGCAGAAAATACAAATCTTGGAGAGGAAGATCTTGTAGGACATCAAGAGTGCCAGATAGTTGATTATTTTGGATGTGCCTGCACCAGAAAAGAGAAGCTGTAAACTAAAGTTCTTAAAACATGTGGAGTAGTTTTCAGTTACAAAAGAGTGAAAATTTACAATGTGGTGAGAGAAGACAAACTCTCCATAGATGGTGGAAGTTGGCCACTAAAATTGTTATCAGAGAGATCCCTGCATCAGCAGAAGTTTGTGAAAAATTAGTATACAGATGGCACAGAGTTCTATGATGAAGTGAGAGACTCCTACAAGTTTATGAGTCCAGTGAGAGTCTGGAAAGCATCAGGCAGTTCACCAGACAAGAGATTGTTATTGAGTGACCTGAAGTAACAAAAATGAAAGAATGAAAAATCACACCAACAACGCTCCTCGCTGAAGCTTCACGGCACTGGGTGAACTCACATGTCTGATAGAAGCGTCAGTCCTGATAATGAACCTGGGATGCTTCCTGTGAACTTATTGGCTGAAAGAAAACTGTCACATGCAAATAAACCATGAAAGATTCATCTAAACAATCATTGCTCTGAAATAAAGCATCTAAGAAAATCCAAAAGGCTAGGAGATTAACAACATACAACTTCCTTATTGTAATGGGTAAGCTCTCTGGTATCCTGCCACCGATTTGGTTACCACTCAGGTCCCTGAAATGATACATAAGATATTAAATGGTCAGCCATCAGTAAGCATGATGATTACGCATAACAGGTAAGGAATGTGATTTTTTCTAGCAAAAAAGAGAAAAGAAACAGATGAATCTTGCTGTTATGGCAACAAATTCAGGGAAAGCAATTACTAGAGTTAACACTTACATTGTGATCAGTGAAGTAAAATTTCCTAATTTATCACCCAATTCTCCTCCCAAATTTGCGCCATTGAGTATTCTATCAGTGCAGAAATCTATTAGATGAGGCAAACAAGTAGAAATGAGCATAGTGACAGCTCTTGGAACTTTACATTGCAGATATGTTCGAGTTGACACACTGAACACCTTGCCAGTTATCATTGCAAGGGTCTCCACCAAATGCAGTCCATCCAGGAAGAAGAGGGAAGCCCAGTGCTAAATACAGGTAATTTATGGCATACACTGGAAGCAAAATCAAGTTGTAAGCACATAAAAACATTACATAGATTTGATAGGCTCATAAGACACGAGAAATAAAGCATACCATCTTGTTCGTATGTGTAACCATGGGAAAATGTCACATAAAACAGCAGAGTCAGAACCAGAGCGAACCGAGGGAACATCCTCGAATCCGTAGTTCCTAGTATATCTTTTCACCAAAATCGCATCTCCTGCAGTCATAAATCCAACAGAAATGAGTTCAATTTTAAGGAAACTAGGAGTGAATTCTTGGCGAAAATTACGAAAAAGAAAAAAATCAAACAAAACCTCGTCGATACAATCTAAAAAGAGTTTCTAAATCCTTTTCTCGGCCATTCATGCTAATGAAGGGCTTCCACCCAATCAGCTTAAACAAATATTTTTTGCAGGACACCCAAACCTCTTTCCTACAGATTGCAATCACTCCGTTTCGGAAGCAAGATAGTTCGCCTACCCGCGACCTTCTCCTCACTTCACACTGAACCAAAACAAACTTCACCGATAAACCAACAGATTCGATCCCACGGAGTTCACGTAGCGCAGCAAATACTTCCCAAGAATCGAAGAAAAAGCCCCCACAGAAGCAAAGAAACGAAGCAACGCGGGAACAAATTCCAAGAAACCCACAAAACCCCCAGAACCCGATCAAGAAAGCCTTACAAGAAAAGCCTTAAAGAATCGGACGAAATCAAATCCTTCGCGAGTGGACAAACTATCGAAACAGCCCGCCCAAAACAAACAACCAATAAGCCGGAAACGCAGTGCCAACAAACGCCGATAACAAAAACAATGGTGTGCCAAGCAAAGATTACCCGAGTGAGAGCAATAGAGACGAGACGAACCCAACGGAATACGTACCCCCTAAGACGATCATGAATAATAATAATAATAACAACAACAACAACAACAAATAAATAAATAAATAAATGAATAAATAAATAAAAATAAAGGGTTGGTGTTAAAGAGGAAAGCGAAAGGATCGTAGGATGTGAGAGAGAATGGAATATGGAAGGCTTTTGAATTTTCTTTCCTTTTTTTTCTTTTTCTTTTTTCTTTTTCCGCTTTGTGCACAGCTGATGATTCCGCGCAGGGGAAATCAATCGATACGGATCATGACGTGGCGTCATGTCGAACTCGTCATGCGATACGGATCATGACGTGGCGCACACGGATCGCACTTACGGGGATCCGCCCGCCCCGTTTACGGGGACCATGGATTCGATGAGTCCGGTTTGATCGGACCGGCTTTTGATGTCTTATAAATATAGTATTGATGCTAATTAAACGCGTGTAGTATTATATACACACACAATTATAATAATAATATTGCTAAAATCAAGAACACGAAACAATATAAATATTTATAAGGAAACGAACCAAAAATCCAGCGTTTATAATTGACTGCGCTAAATTAGTTCCATCATTTGTTTGATTCGATACGTTCTCTTAATATGTCGGACGAACCTATGTACGTATATAGTATGATATATGTCTGCACTCTGGAACAAAAGGGAAACAAGGGTGTGGAACAAAGAGTGCAGTGCATCTTATTCCACCAATCCATGTTCGTGATCAAGTTGTATGGAGCTTCGGATCCTTTGGTATGAGATTTACTCGATCGAAGAACATGAATTAGCCACCGAAGAACCAAAGTCAATTGTTTGGGTTTAGGAGAGTTGAACGACGCAGCAGTGGCTGCACAACTCCTTGTTCCCATCGGCCATTAAGGGCTCAAAGCTCGCCCATGCCTCCGCGGCCCCTGGTTCCGTGTCGAAGGCATGAGCCACCGTCATCGACCTCAGCTCGTCTCCCGCCTCGCGATATCCGACCAAGAAGTAGAGGTGACCCCCGACAGGAGCCATGGTGAGGTACAGCCTCTCCAGCGAGCGCTCACGCGGGCCGGCGACGAGCGACGACATGTCGTGCAGCTGCGACCGCTCGATGACGCTCCATATGTTGAGCTTCCCATCGTAGGTCTCGATGTGCCCCTTCCAATTGTTGAGGCAATCGCCGGAGCTGTACAGCCGGCCGTCCACCGCCACGATCTGGTTGGGCGGCACGTCCAGCTGCCACATCCCCGGCACGAGGTCCCACTCCCCCCGCTCCTCGTCGAACACCTCCGCGGAGCTTCTCTCCACCACCGACGGCACCGTTCGGCTGCAGCCCTCCCGCTCGGCGAACCCCCCCACCACGTGGAACCTGCCCTCCCACGCCATGCCGACGCACTTGTACCTCAGGGCGCTCATGCCTGGGAGCGGCGCCCACTGGTCGCGCTCGGGGTCGTACACCTCGGCCGCCGACGTGCCCCGGGCGCCCGAGACCGTGAACTGGCCACCCGCTACGTAGATCCTCCCATTGCAGGGCGTGCACGCGAAGTCGAATCGTTGGAGGGCGAGCGGCGAGCACGGCGCCCATTCTCCGGTCGCAACGTTGCACCGGAGCACATCGGATCTCACAGCGACGTCCCTTTCCACCGAGCCCTCGGCATCGAGCACATTAAGGCAGAGCCTACCACCGATGACGTAAACGAAGCCGCCTAGACACACCATTGCGAAACCCTTCAGTATGTGGTTCCTGGGGAGCCCGGGAATCGCTCCGACGTGGCCCAACGTGTTGTCGGCCGGGTTATAAGAATCCAGCCAGTTAGATACGGTGGTGCCGGTCGTCTCGTCTCGTCGGCAAAACGAGACGCAGATTCTGAAGCCGCTCGCCTGGTTCTCCGGCGGCACCGGCGGCGGAGGAGGAGGAGGAGATAAGGAGCCCATCCAAAGAGGACCACGAAAGCTAAGGTGGGTGAAGATCACGCTGGAAGTGGGGGAATTGGAGAGGTAGAAGAGAACCGAAGATATAGAGCACAAGTGACGGAAGGATCAAGGGGCGATGGTTTCCAGTTTCTCTGAGCCACACTCGAGACAAATGATGTCCTTGTAGAGCTAATCAAAAGGTGAGCGATGGAGGAGATAAAACTGTGTTCTGCAGAGGGATTAGGAATAGAATAAGGAGGCTCAAAGGATCAAGACCGTCTCTAGCGTTGTCTTTGTAATGGACAAGCAATCCTTGTTCTACGGCGACGTCGTATATTACTGGAATATCCCCGGAAGGAGCTTTTTACGATGGAGAGTTTAATATTCATAGTAGATTAGTATTTGTATTTTTTTTTTTATTTATAACCCATGCTAATAACTTTGAATAGAAAAAGTGTGTCCAAATATTTTATTTAAATTGTTTAATTAAATATTTGGCCAAAAAAAAAAGGTAGTTCTTTAGATTGGTTTATTGGAAATTAACATGAGTATAAATGAGTTACATTCTATTGTATATTCAATCCAAAAATATTTTATTTAAAAATTTAATCATCCTAAACTCATAAAAAAAATTAAGAAAAAAATAATTTTATATATCTTACGGTCAAGAAATTTGGATTGGTTTGATGAAAATTAACTCGAATTAATGTCACGTCATCACGTTATCGATCTGATTTGCGTCGTTTTCCTTTAGGAAACTGTCATGCTTGAGAAGAAGATCTTCATTCAAGGTGGTCAAGTGATCCTTGCAGGAGGACTACACTATCATCGAAGGCATGCGGAGAAAGATAGATGACTTCGTCCGGATTAAACGAAAATATCGATCATATTATGATGGCTTCTCCTTCGATTTTGAATCTTTCTTTCTTGTTTTCTCTTTCCATCGTTGTCATAGATCAAAAATTTCCTGCAGGAACAAGGCAAATATTTTGTCTCCCTTTAGATTAGATTCTCCCGACCTACAAGTGACAAACACATCTAGCCAATACATCCTAAAAAGGCAAAGGCTGTGGATTCATTATCTGACATCAGATCGACTGGAGGCCTCCCTTCGAGTACAGAGCAGAACGAGGCGAATTTGACTCAGGGTGTCATTCAAATGGACGATCCTTAACACTCAACACCACTCTCTATGTATCTGCTGTAAACCATGTGCAGATGATAGGGAAGAGGTTGCAACGAAGAGCAGAGTCATGGCGTGCGGCTGGGAATCAGAGAGAAGGATTCTTTCCTCAGGCGCGTCGCACCAAAGAGAATGAGACATGCTGTATCCGGATCGAAACCCAACTCTCGCAGGGAAATCCATATATGTCATGAGAAAGCTCCTACTTTTTACATGCCTTTAATGATAAGGACACTGTTTTCCTCTCTGCTGCTTCCTCCTGAATCGGACACAAGACAGCGGTGGATGATTTGATCCATCATAGAATGTAATCAACAGGAAGCAGCTTTCCGGATTAGAGAGAAGCAAAGAGATGGTTTGTGGCTAACATCCTGTGTCCTAATGGCTGCAGGCCATCTGACAAAGAAAACTGCTCCTTGACCGTCTTTCATGTTTCGGGCTACCGAGAACGATAGCAAGATTCATACGTTCCAATTCAACCCTGGCTTTAACCTGCAGCCATTTCTTTCATCACCCCACTCTTAACGAGCGTGAAGCTGCAGAGACTCAGCTCAAACGTTAGCGAGAAGATCTACCGCATCGTTCTTCAGGTTCGTGGGAAAAGCTTCGGATCTCCAACTCGTGCGGTTGAGCATTAGGAATGAGTCGGGCAGGGAGAGTGGCATGTGTGACCAACTGCGGTACGAGGCATCAGAGGAGCCTTCTCTGGAGAATCAGAACAAGGATTAGAAACGCCATTAGGAAGGGAAGCGGACCAAAAGTGAGGCTCCAGTATGATCCTTTCGAGTATGCCCTCAACTTCGATGATGGCTCGTATGGTTTGAACGAAGCGATCACCGACTTCCGAGATATCCGAAATCTGCAATGTGGATGAAATTAGAGCTGGCCTTAAGCTCCGCATGCTGATACAACCACCGCAAACTATGTGCTTCCGGTTGCCACCACCTCATCCTTTTAACTATAATCTGTATGTGCTTGTTTCAGTCTGTTCCCTGAAGTACGAGATGTTAGTGTTTATGAATCATGTAAAGGAGATTTGAACTTGAGCTGCTTAATCACATCTGCTCCCTGCATTTTAGTTCCATCACTTTGCTTTCTCATGCTGCTGCACGATGTTGGTCGTGAAGAACTCGATGGATTACTAGTTGTGAATTCAATAACAAATAGACCGAGACACCATTTGCACAGAAAGAAAAGAGGGTTTTTTATTCCAATCCCGTTAATATTAAGAGGAGGAAGAAGAGATCACTTGAAGTTTCTGCCAAATATCTTCGCTTTACCTTGCATCTCTCACGCACAACCATTTTGAGAGGGCATTAGAGAGACAGAGAGAGATCTGTTTCAGTTTCTTGCTTCAGAGAATTCAACCCCTCCATCTTCTCTATCATTTCTCTTCTCTTCAAAGCATGTGATGAAATATTTCATCTGTCTTTCATGCATTCGTGCCTTGGATGATGGCAAGGGTTGGACTCTGTAGCTTTCTCTCTATCCTCTCTGTCTTGAATATTAACTAACTTGGATTGATAAATCCGACATCGACGTCTCTTCTGAAAGTACTTTCCTTCACCTTTCTACCTCCGGTCATCTCTTGAATTGCTGTGGAAGGCGAATCTGACTAACTTTGTGTTGTATGTGAGAAGCTACTTTGGCCTTTCTATCGAAGGACAAGAAAAATACATGTGAGATGTTTTGCAATTTCATAAAATTAATTAACTAAAATGTGTGAAAATGGGAGCCATCGTCTATCAGATAGATACAATGTCAATCTTGTTGGGAAAAACATGTTAAAGCGAAATATTATTTTCCCTTTTGTGTATCAAAATGGAATCCTCATCAAAATACCAATTTGATACCTAAATGAAAATATCAACCAACACAGCATAAACAATAGAGCAAAAATCAATCACACAGTGAGACCAAATCTTTTTAACGTGGAAAACCCAATATGAGAAAAACCACGGGACCGTAGTCCACCTCAAACTTCCACTATCAATAATAACGATAACAGGTTTACAATAGGTCTTCTCTATAATAACTAGAGGATGAGTATAACATCAAGAATATAGATCTTGGTTCTAGCATATCATTAGGATGGATGAATTATAGGTCTCATAGAGTGGATATAACAGAAAAGTACCTTAGAGATGGTAAACTACATATCAACACCGTTAGGATTGTAGAGTTTGCTGCAAGGATTCTCCACTTAAAATTTGGGTCAAAACTGATAACGTTTGACCACAGATCGTTGAGCAGAAAACTCATAAATCTAATCTTTCTCTCTCTGTTTCTCTCTCCTCTGCACGCCACACGCTGTACGCTGCAATCTAATCTATTTTCCTCACATTCTCTCTTCTCTTTTTAATTTCTTTCATTTGTTGATTTAGGTTCAATAGGCCCAATTGTCCAAGCCCACAACGACTGACCAACAAATCTACCTCCCTGCCCAAGTAGGAATCTACTGTGCTAAGAAATGGCTGTTCTTTCATATGTAGATCGACCACCACTAGATTCTCAATACAGTCTACACTGATCATTTAATAACTCTCACTAAGGACATCTAATTTGTCCCAATAGTCAGATAGAGTAGACTCTATGACATCATTGATATCTACTTTGGAAAGTTCTCTCATGACAAATATGTTTGGAAGTTTCTATCACGACTTGGGGTTTATTCTGCAACAGAAGGTGGCACTGCAGACGCAAGATTTACCTCCTCAAAATGTCGCATCACTGTTTTCAAGGTTCAGATTTATGTTTCTTTTTGAGTTAGATTCTAGTTTTAATATATTGATCGCTTGAGTCGGTTCAGGTCGAGTGAAGTTTGGCTCTGTTTTTGGATGTATTCGAGTAAATTTTGTGATTGATTTCAGTTTTGCTCCGAAGTAAAAGCAAATGCAAACTCATAATATGGTCGAAGGGATTTCTTCACGAGTTCATGATGTTTGAAAGCTACAATGCTTGGCGTACAAAAGCAGTTTCTATCGTAGTTGGCATCAACCTCATAATAGCCTGTAAGTACAAGCTTAGCTAACTAAAGCTTTGCCCCTTAACCCATTCACATTCCAATCATATGTATCACAGCCCCAGAGGAACCCTTCATCCATGTCTGATGCAAGAAAACCAAGATCAAGACCAATAATATTCCGCACCAAGCGTTTGTCATCTGGTTCGAACCTCACAATCTTGCCTTGCCTTGTTCTCTGATCACCACATCAGATTTGTAGCACCGAGAGACAAGATCAACCATGGTGGTTGAGCAGAAAGTGAAGTGGTCCGGAGGGAAGGAAAAGTGAGGGGAAGAATATGATCCTAGTAAGAAGAGATCAAACTATCTGCGGAGCAAAAAAGGTGTACTTCTTCCTTTTGGCAGTAGCAAAGGAGATCACAAACAAAAAGGAGGGAGGGTGGAAGTCTCCTCCCCCAACACTATGGCCTCATTCAGCTCAACTCAGTAGTGTAGTACTGCTTCCATATATCCCACTACATCGTCCCAAGTATATCCATCCATGATCAGGCGTGACACTCTGAAGTGGGGTGCTATATCATGGAGCTCCCACCCATCCTAAGCTTTCCAACCTTTTCACTCCCAATTCCTAATGTCAACCACACCGCCCTAATCCAAGTTACAATGCACTCCATCATCTCCCTCTCCCACAAAAGGCCACACTATTCCCTCCCTTTAATGTTTCCTCTGAGGCCAGCAACTTGCAACAAGCCAAGAGCATCACCTCAGTGATGACCACTGCTTCCTGTTGTGGCCTGCGCCACCTCGTGTCGGCTTCACTCCCGGCGGGGCGTGAAAGTTTGGTACGTGACGATGCCTGCGCCTGGAAACTCCTCCACCGCCTGGCTTCGGCAGCTCAGTCCGAGCGGCTCGAGTGCGTCCCCCACGGCCGATCGCACTTGGTTCTCGTCGACGTTGGGTGCCATGCAGAACGACACCGACACCGCGCCCGGCCGGAACACCCCGATGGCCTTTCTCAGCGAATCCAGCACTTCGGCTCTGCCTCCCGCCCATCGGCCTGTGCACTCGAAGCTGGCGTAGCTGTGGCCCTCCTCCGGCGTGACGTGTATCGTGGAATAGCTGTCGCGGTCGAGACCATTCATCGAGTATCCACATGGGTCGAACGCGAAGCCGCAGACGAGCGTGCGTGGGTTGATGCTACCGATCTCGGTCAGGTCCGTCATGTCTGCGCCCACAGCGTCGCCCGACCTCTCGTCGCCTTTCTTCCGGAAGAAACGCCGCGCCAGCGACCGGTCCAGCTCCGTCATGCACACTTCAACCGTAAAAGTGCTCCACGAACCTGCCGCCAAGCGGTCGTCGTCGTCGGCGGCGGAAGCAGAGTAGACGTGCCAGGAGTGCGAGCTGCTCGACGGAAGGACGCAAGCTTTTCTAAAGGCTAGGCTCGGCGGGAGGCGCTCTTCCAAGTAGAGCGCCTCCTCCGCGAAGCTGGTGTGAGGGAACGGCTGGGCCCGAGGGAAGATGAAGCTGCCGCGGGAGTAGCGGCAGGCTCGGAGACGAAGGCCGAGCTCCGCGGTGTGGCGAAGTAGACAAGGGACGGATCGCAGCAGCTGAGTAGTGCCGCAGGTCTTGAGAACCATCTTATAAGGATAAACAAAGAGGCTGGACTCGGAGAGGATGTACGCGTCGAAGTAGCGGTTACCGACGGCAGAGACGACGGTGCACTGCACGGCGTCGAGGACCTGCGCGAGGGCATCGCACCGCAGCCGGCGGAGGCCGAGCGAGTCGTGGCCCGAGAAGTGGAGCTCCAGGCGCTTCTCGAAGCCTTCGAAGCCGGAGACAGCCATGCCGCGGCGGTGGTAGAAGCAGCGAAATAGGGTGGATGGTGTTGGGGACACCAAGGCATGCACGTGGGAGGACAGAGGGGATGGAGGGGGATTTATAGAGTTCTGGTGAGCAGAGGGGATGAGGTGGGAGAATGGAGGAGGGTGGCATGCGTGCGAGGCAACCAAGGATAATGATTGCAGGCATAATGAAGCCAAATGGAGGAGGAGGAGGAGGAAGAGGAGGAGGAGAGGAAGAAGGAGATCCTCACGAGAAGAAGACATCCAACGGGGAACGGGGATTCAGCCCACGCGCACGGCGTAGTGGAGAGAGCTCATCCTCAGCACAGAAAAGAAGGAAAAGCCTGTGCGTGCGCGCGATATTTACTTGCACATAACAAGATGGAGTGAAAATGTCGACCGTCGACAGGCGAGATAAAGAGAGAGATGGATCAGCGTTCGATGAAAAGTTGGAATCGGAGGATTTGCTGGGCATTGTGGATGTAGTGTTGGCAAACATGAACGAGGTCAAAGAGACGCCGGACCATCTTCTTCTGGCCAAGGCCAAATGACCCGCACTTGTCATGCTCTCTTTGATCCACCGGGAGACACCGTGGGGGTCGAGTGACCACAACATTAGCAGTCCCCCAGGTGGATTCCAAACCTGGAAGAAATAGCGGAGCAAGCGAGCGAGAGAGAGCGCAAAACATGGGGTAAATCCTGTTGCTCGACCTCTGATGCCAAGTACGTACGAAAAGGTCATATGCTTTGGTGGAATACTCGAATGTGTTCGACGACTGACTCCAATGGAGTCTCCTCTTGAAGAATTCCGATGATCAAGAGAGCTTCCACCAAATTTTTATCAAGCCATATATAATTAATATGCTTCTGAGGTTGAACTCGGACGAGTTTGAGTCGACTCAACTCGGGTGGTTTCCGAGTCCAGTCCAATCGAGGTTTTGAATATTTATTGAATTCAGCAAATATAAATATAAATATTATTGAATTGAATTGAATCGAGTGACTTGATACCATGATAATATTTCGATTTGATGACCGATAAAGATTAATCTATTAGGAAAGAGCCTGACATAAACTCTTTAACATATTTTGAATTGCTTTTTTATTTTTATAATAATAATCACAATTGCATGATAAATAGAGTGGGTATTGTTACATTAATAATAAGTACAATTACACAGTTGATAGGTCTAATGAAGTGCAGTGGAAGATGTTTCGTACGTCACTCCATCGATATCATATTGGATCGTATAGGGAAAACAAAATACAATAATAATAATGGTAAAAATTGTGCCTGCCACTTCAGCGGGCCCACGCGCGCACCCATGCATGCACGCGCCCGTGGAGCCCACATCCGCAGACGAGCGCCTCGGAGGTGGTGGTCTCCTGCGGTGCTAAGTGCGGGTGAGCCAATGCGAGGTGGCATGGCCCATGCGTCCGCACTCACCCTCCGCACGCGCGCGCATATGATCAACCCTAGCGTCACTGTTACAAATAATGCCCCTCCTTTTCTCTCTCTCTCTCTCTCTCTTCTGTATTGTCTTTTTCTTCTTCTTCTTCTCCCATACCACCTGCCATGCCTCTCAACTATACGTACTCTGCACTTTGCGCCTGTGAAATAATACCCACTTTCTCAGTGTTTTATCCTCATCCACTTTTTGTCCTTTCACTGTTACCACAATGAAGAAGATGCGTTCTGTGAGACGAGTGATTCTTCTGTCTATGATTCTTGCAAGATCTTAATAAATAGATCACGATCCATGGTAGAAATAGGCCACAAGTTTCTTTGCGAGATAAGATACGGTGCACGCGATAGATTCCTCTAGTTTTGTGTCCTATATTGCTCTTTATACGAGGATCATCGCTGGTGATTCACGCTTCACTCACAGTATTGATTTCTTGCTTTTCTACTAAACCCTAGAGAGAATCAAAGGGTTTTATGTGGTCGTGCCTCATGATTCAAGGGGGACCATACGCACATACGAACTGGTTCTCGAGTATCTACGAACGTATTCCAGCTTGTACACGTCGGGTTTCGTGCGCATCTCGAGCCTGCATGCAGTACTCTTGTTTGCTGTTTCTTCCTCGCTGTTGTACTGCTGCTTCCCTAGAAAATAAGATAGATGCACACGCGATTACCAACCACCGTACGCCATGATTCAAGGTTACCTGCTATATGTGCACACACAATAATTTTGTGTCGCGTTTACTGATCAATATGCAAGCTTACAGGTTTTCTTCTACTGTTCTATTGGTGCTTCTTTGATCATATGCATTGCTTTAGGAAAAGGTTCCATAGATACACTGCAAAGCTTTCACGTCCTATTCCTGAAGAATCCTATGCAAAGACACGTTGTAGTTCTGAAGAATCCTATGCATTTTGTGTTGTCTTTGGACTGTCGATCTCAAGCACTACCTTTTGTCCTTGAATCACCGATCTGCATTCGACGTTCACTAGGTTTAGTATTCTCAAGTTGTCTGAGAATGCCATTTCACAATGCATTACACGATTAATTAGAGTGTTCCACGGACGCAGTTCCATACCATCATTAATTCAGTGGCTGTAGTCAAACAAATCCAGCAGCAGGAGGATCCCGTTTACTCTTTTATTAGATCATATATGTATGCCCCACCTACCCAACACATGTAAGCATAATTCTCCGAGGTTTTCGAACCGTACCCTGTTGCAGGAAAGCTTTCTAAATGGCCCTGGATTTGTTTGCTTCAAAGACACTTTTATGTCGTCCTTTGTGTAATGAGCCCGGAAAAGATACGGTTCATGAATCTAAGCATGTAAGTGTGGGCTGAAGCATGATGCGAAGGAGGTCTCTTTATCTAGTTTGGGTAAGCTGGATGCTTCGAGATGGGGGAAGGCCTCCGTGAAGCTTAAACAAGTCCAAGCTATGGAGAGCAAAGCGAGTCCGGGGCAGAGGGGACATGATGGCCTCCATGCTCGCAGCAGCTCATTGCAGCGCTGAAAGGCGAGAGGATGAATCTCTCGGAACTCTCACACTGCTTTCCCGGGCCTTTCCTGTACACCTGCGGCAGTGCATGTGTACTGGGGAGTGGCCATCACATGGTGACACAGAAGACTGCATGCGTACATTGATGCAAGCTGGGCAGAGCCATGGCGATGATCATGGTGCAGAGGGAGTTGGAACAGGGAGGAGAATGATGGGGGGATTGAGATGTGGGTGTCGAGGGCACTGTGGCGCACACGGCGGCACGCACGCCGGAGCGAAATGATGGGCGGGCGCTGCGCGGGTGCCGAGAGGGATTGCGGAGGGTGGTCGCCCGGGGAATGATGGTAGGCGCTGCAGAGCCAGAGGACGATACGCCCAGGCTGATACGGCCCGAACTCCCACCCACTTGCTTTTGTACTCTCTGCCTACCCCTCGCTTTCTTTATTGTGTGTGCGCTTATCATTCCTCGAGGGAAACCTTTTCTTTTATATATATATATATATATATATATATATATATATATATATATATATATATATATATATATATATATATATATATATATATATATATATATATATA